TGTATAAATCAGAAGGCGAATACGATGTGTTGCTTGCGTTTATTATTGAACAACGCACAGATATGCACGTTAAGCAGACATGCAAGAGTAGTGTCGAAAAGCAGACGAGCAAGCGAGTTGAATGAGCGATCGAGTCAATGAGTGAGTAAACAGGATTAAAACGTACATATATATACATATGGGAATGAATGAATCATCGAGTCAATTAAGCGACTAATAGTAAGGCTAGCAGAATGAATATATGCGTAGTCACTAAGCGATGCTCAAGAGTGCATATTCATACAAGTGCAACTTTAATAAAGATACAATAATATAAATACGTTATTATTGTACGGATGACCCTCTCCGTTAAATAAGTTAACAAAAGGGCTTAATCAAATTGAATATGGATAAACTCAAATGTACGTGAGCTGCTATAAACTATTTCCAAACAGAACAATCTTCACAAACCTCTTATCATAATATGGTAGCTTAAGCCAGCTTCTCGGAAAAATATCTAAATTTCTAGTAATCAATATAGTCCAGATAAGTTTAAAATGAAAGGGATATAACTGACAGAACATGATGATGTTAACACATTATCACGAATTGATCAGTTAAAAATGTTGACCATTGGTTTCCTACTTTACGATTTAGAGGTATTATAGTGTACAAGAAGATCAGCAGCGTCAATCGAATATAATTGACACGAAAATTACAGACTATCTTACCAAAATCTGACAACCATACAGTAATCAGTTCATTCACAAACTATCAATCAACTGTCTCAATCTTGACCATTCCTTTTGCAAATATCAGTCCATAGTCACCGATTATTTTTGTTCATGCACTTTCGTACCGATTGCATTTCGTTTTCGTTCTTTCCTTACCGATCTTCTGCCAAAATACATTCTCTGCCTGACCATACTATTCATGTGGATGTAGGCGACCCACACCACAGTATAACCTTCACCAGGAGATTAGAATGGCCCTATTTGTTTCTTGAATTAATTATGTGATTCCAGGTTAATATGGGACAATTGTTGACATTCTCCAGCTGTTGTTAATGCAAACATAAACCTCCGATAAAAAGACCATTAAATCAAATTTAGCGTGAAACAATTTCGATAAGTCTTTTATTTCAATAAACTGCAACTTCTCTCTAAAGCTGAACGATTTACGTATAGTATTTTCAGCTTATATCAAACATAAGTGTAAATTTTAATTCATTTTTGTATTATTTATTGGAATCTTCTCATTGATGCTTAGGACTGCAATTGATCAGTCTCTTATTGGCATATGTACTTGTTGTGGGGATTCTTTCGATATTACCATTAAGTCACAAGCATTATAAGCAGAGATGGGTAGTGGATAGCAGTGAAATCCAGAACATGCATTTCGTCCTATTTCGGACTCATCAGCTGAATATACCCGCATCACAGAGTTGATGTTCACTCCAAAATCGGAACTCAGTGCCGCTCACTTCAAAAAAGCTAAGTGGATAACATGATATCGTCTAAAATGAACTGTACTTGGTTTGAGTGTCCGAGTGAACGTCAACTGTGTGATGTAGGTATATCCAGCTGATGAAACTCAAATAAGATGAAATGGGATTCTTGGAAACCACAGCTATCCATCATCCATCTCTGCTTACAATTAATGCAAATTAATTTTATAATTCCCTCTTTTCGGTTTAAACTATCTTTAAGTAAACGTTTGATAACCTCATTTTCATTCTGATTTTATTCTCTTTACTGGATTTTTGTTTTAATAATAAGTAAAGTATAGAAAGACTAGTTTATGAAATACTAAATTAATATGGGTTACACTTTTATAATGTCAGAAATTGGTTAACAAGTCAAAGAACAAATAGCCTAAGCAGAGATGGATAGTGGCTAGCAGTGGAATCCAGGACGCGCGTTTCGTCCTATTTCAGACTAGTCAGCTGGATGTACCTGGATTTCAGAGTTGATGTTTACTCTGGGACTCGAACCCAGTACCCTTGCTTCAAACGCCATCGCGTTATCCACTCGGCCACTGAGTCCTGATAGCCAATTGCTTGTGCGATGGGGTGAAGTGGCCGAGTGGATAACGTGATAGCGTTTGAAGCGATGGTACTGGGTTCGAGTGCCAGAGTGAACATCAACAAGTCTGAGATGCAGGTACATCCAGCTGACGAGTCCCAGATTGGACGAAACGCGCGTCAAACTGGATTCCACTGCTAGCCACTATCCATCTCTGCTTACCATGCTTGTGAATTTAGGCTATGTTGAGGCAATACGCACAGTATGCACATATGCCAATTAGAGACTGACCAGTTGCAGTCCTAACAAATCGATGGGAAGATTCAAACAAACAATACCGAATGAATTTAAATAGCCCAAGGTTTTAATTTCAGTAATACTATTACAAATCAATATTCGCATTCATTTACTTTTAACTATTATCTACTATCAAGCCATCAGGTGTATACCAAATCGATTGTATTACACAATATTAAAGGCGATATTTTGAGATAAAACTTGCTGTATGAATAAGCATTCGCATAAGAGAGAGAAAGTCTTGAGTTCGAGTCCCTTTAGTGAGAGATCGTGGATGTGCACTACTAAGGAGTCTCATACTAAGATGAAACCGCCGTCTAGTACTTCCAGATTTCCCATGATGTTCTAACTTTAATCAACTCATGAATTCAACTATTAAATAGTTATTATAACAGTTGTACTGTCTAAATTCATGTTCTTTTCAATTTCTTGGACAACTACTGAATATTATTACAGGAATAAATGCTACTGAATAATTAATTTAATTATAGTAATTTAAATTAAGGGAAAAACCTATTGAGTGACTTGGTAGTTAAGTCATTGCTCTTTTAGTCATTAGATTTCATATTCAAAATGGGTTCTTTCTAGTTTTATCCAAACAATTCAGTGAAATCATATGTTCGAAACCCAGTATATAAACTTGTGCCTTACTGATTAGCTGCAAATTCATGTATATTGAAGGTAAACAACTGAACGTCTATCCTAGAACTTTGAAAAATTGTGTAGAAAACAGAAGACAGGAAGAATCGAAGAAGTTTTACCTTTCAAGACAATTTTGATACAGAAACCAAGGTATTTATAAGATTATGTGTGAACTTGACATTCTAGAAGTTTACCATGATTGGCAACAAGGAATAATTGACAAGTCCCAACATGAAGGCAACTAAGTTATTACATTTTCATAATTCTTATCAAGTTCTTTGAAACTGTAGAGCTGCTAGATTTGTGGTGTGTACTACTGATGTCAATAGATATAAGTAGTATGTATCACCAATCGAAAAGGAAATATCTTGCAGCAAAAGGTTAAAAAGATCTAAGAAACGACAAACGAAAATAGAGAATGATTGTTGTGGAAACGAAGGAACAATGAAGTCTGAGACGATTGATTGACATTTTGCAAATGAATTATTTGCTGTATGGTTCTCAGATTTTATTAAGAGATTTTGTAATTTTGTATTCATATACATTCGATTGTCTCCATGTGACATTTTCATTTAAGCGAAAGTACAGTACACTTATGAATTCTAATCAATGTGACTGTTATTCAAATCTAAATGTTTTTCGTCAGATTTCTTGATATTGTACATGTACATGTACTTAGAAGAATGATATCTTGATTTCACAATAAAGGTCCATGGAAAGGTATACACTAAGGTGGTGGTTGAAGAAAATCCTGAAGCTAGATTTCGTACGATTTGGTACTCATCAATAAGGTGTACCTTTAATTTTAAACGAACTCATTCATGCTCTCTGATGAACTCGATCCAGACATTATCTTACATCTCAACATAGTCTACACTATGTCGAGTTACTTAGACTGGTGGTCATATTACATTTTGCTCGATAGAATTCGATCAACAATAAAAGAACTTGATATACATGACATTGGTCACTAGGCAATGATCAATCAGTTTTAAATAACCCATCGAAAAAAGTGAAGTGCCGATGCAATCATTGATTATCGATCGGACAACAATCAGATTTGAGTTCAGTTGAAAGATATGACTTAATCTTAACCGAAGAACTAAAATGTTATCCAAATGTAGTAACAATGATAACAATAATGTAGTCTGTATCAAAAATAAAGAAAAAGGAAATGATTGTTAAAAAAATGAACAATCAATTTGAAAGTAACAGGAAGCAAAGAATACATGAAAGAGATTTTGTCGAATACAAATGATTGGTTAAAGTTAGGCATTAAAATTGTTAGATGTCAGCTCAATGGTCTAGAGGTTAGACGTTCGTGTGAGACCGATAGGTTCTGGATTTGAATATCGCGGGTAGGATCGTGGATGCGCACTGTTGGGGAGTCCTATACTAGAATGAAACAGCTGTCTAGTGATCCCAGATTCTCCATGGTAGTCTAGTATTAATTGACCTATGAATTCAACTATTAAACTACTATAATATCCACGAAGAACGTATTTCTGATCATTATTATATTTTCAAAAGAGATCTCTGGAATACTTAATTTCAACCATGTAACATCGCAAATATAGTCTTGTTCACAGTTCCAGAATATTCTTTCGAAAAGATAACGATCAATTATTGTATTATCATTTATATTCCAGTAAACCTGAAGTCAAGTATCAAACTATTCCCCTTCCTCTGTACGATTTGTCTACAATACCATTAAACAACATGACATAACTACTAACTAGCTGACAAACTCTCTTCACTTGTATCATACGTGTATAAATAGATAGCAGTGGAATACAGGACTCGCGTTTCGTCCTATTTGGGACTCATCAGCTGGATATACCTGTATCTTAGATTTTCTGTTCACTCTGGGACTCCAACTTAGTACCGTTCACTTCAAACGCTATCACGTTATCCACTTATCTACTTAACCCTAATAGCCACATGCTTGTGCAATAGGGGTGAAGCTTAAATTCAATGACAGTCCTAAATATAACAATAGGAAGATACAAATAAACAACAACAAGTGAAAACATTTAACTGCCATCAATTTCAAATTACCTTATTGGATTAATATTACACAGAATAATGATTACATTTGGTTCCATTAATGTTGTATCATTAGTTGTTATAATATCCTTATGATAATGATGATGATGATGTTGGTGATGATGATGATAGTCATGATGGGGTTGATGATGCTCTTCATGATTCATATTCTGTTTGTTTAAATGTGAATTTTGGAAATAGTCAATTAATTCATTGATATGATAATGATCATTGAATAAATGATAAGCTTTTAACCATTCAAATGTTCGATATAAGAGTAAAGTCAAACATAATATAAATGATATGAAATGAAATATCCTGAAATATAAAAATAAAGATTACATTAGTATTACTAGTTAATACGGTTCTCATAGTTGAAAGCGTGAGTCAATTGAAGCTAGACCACCAGGGGAAACTTGGAAGCACTGGACGGCTGTTTTGTCTTATTGTAGGACTCCTCAACAGTGCGCATCCATGTTCCCGCCCTGCGAGATTCAAACCCAGGACCTACCAGTCTCGAACCAGAGCGCTTAACCGATAGACCACTGAGCCGGCATCCTATGGTGTTTATGTCTAACTGTACGGAAATAAAACTTGGAGAACTACTACAACTGTCATTGAAAATGTACAAGTATGTATAAACGGTTGTTTACGCAAGATGCGCTAATGTTTGTTGACCGGATACCGTCACCGACAGCTTAATGTGGGAAAGAGCAAACCAGCTATCAGTTGAAGAGGAAATTCGGAAAAGATGTTGGAAGTGGATAGGACACATTTATTTTGGAAATTATCGAACTGAATCACAAAGTAAGCGCTGAGTTGGAATCCTGAAGGGAAACCGAAAACAGGAAGGTCGAAGAACATACTATATCGGGAATTGGAAGCAGATGTGAAAAGAATGAATATCTACTGGAAAGGATTGCACATGACAGAGTTGGATGGAGAGTGCTGGGAGGTGACCTACACCTAATTAAGATCAAGTTACTTTTGAAAGAAGGACAGTACGAAGCTCTCTAGTCTCATACAGTCATTAAAATGCCTTATTTTACTGAAATTGGAATCAAACGTAAAATGTAGATAGTTTTACGAGACTATACAGATCTATTTTCTTCTCAGTCTGGAACTGTTTCAGAATTATGGAGCTTTGGAAACTAATTTTAGTTCTCAATAAATTCCATATTTAGAAATCCTTCCAAAATCCGATATAAAATGACATATCTTAAATCGGTTAATTACTCCTCGAGACTGGTAGGTCCTGGGTTCGAATCTCGCGAGTGCGGGATGGTGGATGCGCACTGCTGAGAAGTCCCATAATAGAACGAAACGGCCGTCCAGTGCTTCCAGGTTCTCCCTGGTGGTCTAGCTTCAATTGAACCATGATTTCAACTATGAAAATATCTCAAATTCTCGAAACAAAATTTGCTAATTAGAATATCACAAATTCATTTCAATCAGAATACTACTGAAAGCCAGACAGCACTAGACATCTGTTCTGTCATAGTATGAGACTCCTCACAACTGTGATAATGATCAAGAGAAGGAGAATTCCTGATAAAGACCAACTGTTGATTCAAACTGGACTGACTGAACATCATAACGTCCAGATCTATAAACTGTTGACAGTTTTACTTTTCATTATATTTCTCGAGGATAATCACTATATTGACACATTGTAACCCTATGAATTTTAAAGTACATTTATTGTTCAATAAAAAAGTTAATAAATGAGAAGATACAAGTCTAAATTAGATACCAATGTTTGGCAACAAATTGTTTATTCTCGTTAGTGTTTTTTTAACAAGGTTGTTTTGTATGTAATGAGGTTGCCGACCCTATGCCCAACCCTCCTTTTTTAACCAGGTTTGAGGCTGGCAGTAGCCCTAGAAGAGCTACAGGTGGAGTTAGATGGAGAATGCTGGTGAGTGGCTTACGCTACTCCATCAGGGGTAACAGGCGTAAGTATATAAGTAAGTAAGTTTGATAACCAAAGAGTAGTAGCTGAAAGTAGTGACATCTTTGAATGTCTACGTTTGACGCTAGAATTTATAATATCACTATAGAAGATAAATGTTCAAACACTGATTGTAGAATTTTGATTAAATAGTTTACTGAAAACTTAACAAAACGCTTCACATTGATTTTTTTCTTTCATGTAACCACTAAGTGTTCATGGTAAGCAAAGATGGATAGTGGTTAGTAGTGGAATCTAGGACGCGCGTTTCGTCCTATTTCAGACTCGCCAGCTCGATGTACCTGCATCTCACAGTTGATGTTCATTCTGGGACTTAAACCCAGTACCTTTCGCTTCAAACGCCATCGCGTTATCCACTCGGCCACTGAGTCCTGATAGCCACTTCCTCGTGCAACGGGGTGAAGTTTAAATTCACTTAGTATTGTTTGGTTGAATCTTCCCATTGATGTTTTTGGACAGCAACTGGTAAGTCTCTATATCGAGGCAATACTCACAGTATGCACATATGCCAATTAGAGACTGACCAGTTGCAGTCCTAAACACATCGATGGGAAGATTCAAACAAACAATACTAAGTGTTCAGTTTAAAAAAAAACCTTTAATCTCAGGTTTGTAAAACATTGAAACCAGCTCTCTCCTCTTAAATACATATGTAAATATTTTTTACTACTATGTTACATATGTCATGCATTCGTAGAGTCCTTTCTTCAAAAACCATGTCTAAATTGTCGAAAGGTAATGAAATTTATTCTTGGGTATAAACAAATTAACTAAGATCAAATAATTTGGAAAAGCTTATTATTCAGGTCAGCCAATAATTATTGAAGATATCAAAACAGAGCCAACAAAACTGTAGACAATAGTAAAACCTGAAGACAATTGGTGAACGGTCGCTCAAAATCGTGGATTAGTTGAAGTTAGACATTAACACCGTTGGATACCGGCCGGCTCAGTGGTCTATCGGTTAAGTGCTCTGGAGAGAGACTGATAGGTCGTGGGTTCGAATCTCTCAAGGTGGGATCGTGGATGCGCATATCTAAAGAATCCCACAATAGGACGAAAAGGCCGTTCAGTGCTTTCAGGTTTTCCCTGTTGGTCTAGCTTCAATTGACTAACGCTTTCAACTATGAAAATTCATTTATTCACTTAAAAAAGTACAAAATTTCAACTTACCATTTCTTTGTTTTATTATGACAATGAAAATGATTTAAAGTTGTTTTCATTCTTCTTTGAAATGATTCTATATATATATATATGTACACTATGTGGTAAGTATGCTTTTCCGATGCTAATTTATGTCGACTTGGTTACAAAATTTGTCTGGTGTGAAAGGGTTTCACACATATAAATTACTGTATTGAATGTTATTGAGTGTTCAGTGAGTAATTTGCAATTGTTGCCAAGTCTACCAAATATCTTTAGAATTTCAGACAATCTATATATACTACTGTCTATACATATAAGTATTAATGATGAATAAATATAAACCAATCAGAATAGTGTAATACAATCTCAATAAATAGAACAAATTTAATTGTTGCTTTCAATATCTTTTCCCCTTTACATTGTCTCATTATTAATCGTCAAGTTTTCTCCTTTCCTTTTTTTTTGGAATTTTTCACCAGTATTTTTGGTCGTCGACATCCTCATTACTATTGCCGAATAACTGAACGTGTCAGCGTTTTATTAATTCTCAACACACTTTGGATTTTATTGTTGAGATACTGATTTGAAGAAAAAGAAAGGAAAAAATATATCTGTTAGCCAGACACTATCAACAACAACCTACTGTGGGGGAGAATAAACCAGATTTCAGCGGAGGAAGTAATCAGGAAGAAGCTCTGGAAGTGGATAGGACACATATTGAGGAAAGCAGTCAACTGCATCATAAGACAAGCTCTCACATGGAGTTCTGAAAGCCGAAAGAAAAGAGGAAGATCAAAGAACAAATTACGCCGAGAAACGAAGACAGACATAAGAAGAATGAACAACAACTGGATAGAACTAGAAAGGAAGGCCCATGACAGAGTGGGTTGGAGAATGCTGGTCGGCGGTCTATGCTCCATTGGGGGTAACAGGCGTAAGTAAGTAAGTATTTAGACAACTCGGTGGAAATAAAGAAAATAAAGAGTGAAGGTTTGTGTAGTTTTTTTCCACTAATAGAAACTAATTGAAATATAACTAAAAACTTGGAGACTGGAAGGAGTGATCTAGAAGTGTGGTAAACAAATAGGTAAGTGTTATTCAATGGATAAATAAGTTATTAGGTAAGCATGAAGATCAAAAATAAGGTGAGTGGATAGAATTTAAAGATTATATTTCAGATTAGGAATAAGAGATGGTCAGTATCTAGCCTCTATTCTCATACATCGATGCATACATAAATAAATACAGTTGAGATGCATAGCGTCTGATTTCGATGCACACGCCTCCTACACGCTTACCCAACCAACTACGTCAGTGAGAATGTTGAGAAGTGACTAGAAAGCTGTAAATGGAAAGTCAAATGAATAGGAACACAAATCATTTATACACATACACTTGTTTATCTGATTCAGAGAAGAATTTGTGGACTTAAACCTTGACTAAGAGCACAACTTGGTTTCTACAGTAGTGTTTCGTTTGTGATCTTTCATTAGACTTCAAATATCTCATGAGCAGAGTATCGTGATTTACGGGACTCATTCAGATAATCACATGTGGAGATTGTAACAATTTTAAACTAGACCACCATTAAAAACCTGGAAGCACTAGACGGCCATTTCGTCCTCAACAGTGCGCATCCATGGTCCTACACCAAAGGGACTCCAACCCAAGACCTTGGGTCTCGCGTGTGAACGTTAAAATTCTATACCACTGAACTGGCATCAAACAGTGTTAATGTCTAACTTCAATCGATCCACGTTCTTGAACAACCATTCATCTATAGTTTGAGGTAGATAACTGTCTCACGCACGAGATCTAATGTCATGCGTTCGAGATCATGAATGCGCACTGTTGAGGCTTCCCATACTGGGAAGGAACGGCTGTTCAGTACTTCTAGTTTTTCAGTGGTGGTCTAACTTTAATCTACTCATGAATTCAACTGTTAAAATAATTAATACGTCTATAGAAAACTTACAGTGAAGTTTACATAAGGCGACTGTATATTACTAATAACTATATAAGAGTTACAATGTTTACACTTCTATTTCTTTCCGTACATAAATTTACTTACTCGATATCATTAAATACTGTTAGTCTTACACCATTGGATGTCGAATTGCATTTTTGGAGTTGAATGATACAGTGCGGAGTGCAATTATTTATTGATGTTTGATTTTCTACTTCTTTTTGCTACTTTAATTGTAGTTAGTAGTATAAACATATAATAGAAAATTATTGATTTGTGTTTTCGCAATTGAAAAGGCTTTATGTGAATGTGTTAATGCATAAAGTGACGGGAATCCCTTGATGCGGTTGATTAGCTATTTACAATAACTAATGTGTCAACTATGTACTACTAAGTACTTAAGCTTGATGTTAAGATGTGAATCGATGATTGCATGTTGAATATCTGTTTGTTTTCAATGCATTTTTAAAATGTGAAGGTAATTCATCATCACAGAAAAACCTCAGTCGGAGTACTACTGCAAGTAATGAAAAACTAGATGATTGCTTCGTCTTGGTAAGGTTCCCTTAACAATCAGCATCCATGACTTTTCTAGGGATCAAATCTATGGAGTTCAGATTTAACGGTGACCATTTAACCACTATGTTACAGGTTTGGTATTCAGCTTCTATCAACTTATGAGATAGAGTGATGTTCAACTGTTAGTACCTAAACTCGTACTCTGGTTATATTAAAATCTGGGTATAATAAATGTAGAAACCTGAAATACTGGCTAATAAAAGTGTTGCCGTAGCATACCGTTAACTACAGAACATGGAAATAACGACAAAAAGACACTTTCAATAATGCAATGAGAAGACGAAGTTTATCATAATTATGTGATATATTAGCGCAATACATTTCGAACAATCACACATATACTTGTTAAGACATTTTTTATATGAAAATTAAAAGGTCAACTAGACAGGTTAAGGTAAGAAAATAAATAAAGTACACAAAAACAATGTGATGACTACTCTGGATAATAAATAAGCATTACCAGGGTAGGTTAAGGGTAAGAACAAATTGTTTCAATTTCCGTATAGCCAAGGCTTCAATAAACCTTAGTATACGTCCTTGAAGACTTTTGTACAACTTCGTCTTCTCATTGCATTATTGAAATTTATCAAAGGGACTAATTGTTTTAAAAGACACTTTCTTGACATTTTTAAACAGTGAAGAGTAAATGGTAGAGTTCAGTGTTCGATGTGTTGAAAAAAACCTAAAATAGTTTATTCTTTAATTTTATTACCTTCTTCCAGCAAGCTAATAAAGGTTTGGATAGTGACAAGCAGTGTAATCTAGGATGCTCGTTTCTTCCTATTTAGAACTCATCAGCTGGATGTGCCTTCATCTGAGAGCTGATGTTTACTCTGGGACACGAACCCAGTACCTTTCGATCCACATACCATCGCGTTATCCACTAGGATACTGATTCCTGATAGCCACTTGCTTGTACAATAGAGTGAATTTTAAATTCACTTAGTATTGTTTGTTTGAACCTTCCCATTGATGTTTAGGACTGCAACTGATCAGTCTCTTATTAGCATATGTGTATACTGTGCTTATTACCTCGATATGGCCTTAGTTTACAAGCATTATAAGCAGAAATGATTTATGGCACGAAAAAACTAAAAGAGGTACTGATAAACGTTGCAAATAGCCTTAAGAGACAACTGCTACCCATGGAAATTCATTGATCAATATTAAAAAACTTGAAGACAATAAATTGAATATAGCTACAATAAACAAGAAATTAAACTTTGTTATTCTTGCCTTTGAAGGTGATGATATTGCAAGAACGGTCAGTAGAATATCTAATATTACATCAACTAGAACCTACATTACATGCTCAATAACTCAGTAGAAAGTCGAGAAGTACTCTCTTCGTATTACCGCTACCTGTTTCAATAAGCTCACATGTACTTGTTAACGCATCTATATTGGCCTAGCGGAAAGAATGGCTCATCTTTGTAGAGGTGATTGATTTACCCCTAATTTCTATTAATTTTTTTATAATTTACTATCGTTAACTATTTGCAAGTAACTCTCTGTATAACTTAAATATACTTGTTTTGTATTTTACTAACTCATGTTTTGTACAATAAGTATTAGTCATTTTATATAGTTGAGATCATCAATCAATTGAAGCTAGACCAACATGGAAAACCTGTAAGCTCTGAACGGCCGTTTCATCCTATTGTGAGTCTCCTCAGCAGTGCGCATTCTTGATCCCACTATATAGAGATTCAAACCCAGGACCTGTCAGTCTCGCGCAGGAGCATTCAACCACTAGACCACTGAGCCAGCATCCAACGGTGTTAATGTCTAACTTCAACCAATTAGTTACGTTATTACTTTAGTTTACGAAATCTAAGGCTCCACGAACATGCTCTTGAAAGTCTTCAATTATAAGAAAGAAGTACTTTAAATAGTGTAATTATTCAACATTTTTTGAACATATGATATCAAGTTACACCTTTAAGCCCTTCAATGCAAATTAACAAACAGTCAGGCTCTAATTTTCAGAAGTTTTCTAAATCTATTTCTTTTTGGGCATCAAATCACCTAATTTATCTGGTCAAAATCAAACAATTTTATAGTTTTTTCTTTACTGAAGATCAATAATCATATTTTAACTATTTTGGTGTATTTTTTTACATATAGTTGAAATCATGAGTCGATTAAAGCTAGACCACTATGGAAAACCTGGAAGCACTGGACGGCCGTTTCGTCCTGTTGTGGGACTCCTCAGCAGTGCGCATCCACGATCCCGCCTCGTGAGATTCGAACCCAGGACCTACCAGTGTGTATTCATTATCTAACTAATTATTTTCTACCATTTGGCTTTTTATTAATTTTATTAGGTCATGATACGTGTTCTTAATAACTTTCAAGTCAAATAATTTACGTAGATATTTTCATTCCACTTCACAATAATGATCATCAAATATTATCATTACGTAATCAAGCTGCTATTTAATTTTGATGGTTTGATTCATAAGTTAATTAAAGCTAGACCATTGGTGAAAACCTGGAAGCACTGGACAGCCGTTTCGTCCTAGTATGGGACCAATCAGCAGTGCGCATCCACAATCCCACAGATAGCATGTTACTATTGATTTATATTTTACCTTTCTAGTAATCATTATTTTCGTATGATGGTCACGCAATATAGTGGATTGGTTAAACATAAACATTAACACCGTTAGATTCTGGCTCAGCAACCTAGAGTTTAATCGTCCGCAAGCGGGACTCAAAGTCTTAAATTCGAATTCCCACTGCGGTTACGTGGATGCACACTGGTGAAGAGTCCCATACTAGGACGAAACGGCCATCTACTTCTTCCAAAATTTAATGATAGTCTAGCATTGATCGATTTATGATCCCAATCGAAATAATAATTAATAGTTCTGTATTTAGTAATAATAATAATAATAATAAGGGCCAATGATTGGGTATATGATTACCATGTATAATTAGTTCATCAAAATAGATATAAATTATATAATAATTATCTTAATATTTCCGCAATTAGAAAATAGATAATCAAGAAGCCTTAGTAAACTTGATATGCTTGAAACTATTACGAGTTCACCTTACTCAGTAAATGGAACGAAGGTCAATGACACAGTGACATGATAGGCTATTCTAATCCGTCGTCCTTGGCCTTGCTAACTAGGTCAAGAAGTCTTGATGAGGCGTACAGAATGTATTCTACAAGCACACAAATCAAGCTTATTTATACAATTATAGAAATTCCCTTGAGAGCCACAAAATAGAGTACTAAAAAATCCGTCAATCAATGACAGTCAAGGATTCACGAGTGGGAAATGTAAGCTATAGGTTAACTAAGCGTCTATTGGATCGAAAAAACAACATTTAAATTTTCAGAATCAAATTACAAAATTAGGACCTTTATCAAGTGAGTTCTGAGGATTTAAAGTCCTCAACAAAATTGTAATTAATAAATTGAATTAACCTTGTCATTACATTTGCCTTAAGCTAGTTGACTTAACAACACAGATAGCATATTATTACTTAGTTATATTTTACCTTTTTGATAACTATTCTTTTTCTAAGTAATGTAACCTTTAGCATTTATATCTTTTATATTCATGTCATAATAGTTCTGTGCTTATGTGTGCTTGCGTATATGTTTGCACACTTATTTTATCCAATCTATGTCTCCAAGTAATACTATGGATTATCTATTTTGAGTTAGATGGAAACTTGCAATTAGTGATATTTTGAGTAGGCACATTTATCTATTCCTCTTCTCATCTCTCTATCTGTCTGTCGAAATGAAACACTGACACTCAACTACTATTAATGGGATTTATCGACAGAATATTTACGATCTAAGTAGGATCTATTGTAGTGAACAAGAACACAGGTGGGGATAGCCGAATGTTTATGACACAAAAATTACAGACTATCTCACCAAAATCTTGACCGTCTGCTCTGGAAATATCAGTCCATAGTCTCCGATTATTATTGTTCATGCGTTTTCATACCAATTACGTTTCGTTCTCGTTCTTTCCTTATCGATCTTCTAGTGAAATACACTATATGCCTAACCATCCCATATACTACTTATATGGATATAAGTAACCCACACCACACTATATTTGGTTAACATGATAGATCATATTGGTGTCAGCACTAGAATTTCATAGTTTCAAACATAGTTTTGAAAATCTCTTTTCTCGTTTTTTTGTTGTTTAGAGCTCTATTTACTTCCACCCCCCCCCACGAATCAATTTCTTTGTATCTATAATCTATGATATTTTCAGAAACTAATGCTTTAATTTAATATCCATATATACCAAGTAAGTAATTCTTATCATTCTTTAACATACATTAGAGTTTATGAATTTACATCTACGTTACCTTTAAACTTGATCATTAGTCTTTGGTAAATGAATGATATTACGTAATGTTTATTCTCACTAGTTTAAATATTTACTCATATTGTATCCATTTACCAATAGTCGTAATGATTTCATACTATTAGCACAAAATTCATAATATTCTGTACAGTGATGTTTGCAAATATCAACTAATTAATTAACTAATATTAGTAGATCAATCAGTTTGATTTCTAAATTCACTTGGTATTCTTTGCTTGATATGTTTCAGGCTTCATGTTCCACTTATGTGAGACCTCGCTTAGAATACTACATACAAGAAGCTGGTTCATATCTTATTGAATGTGCTGACACATCATTTGTGTGTTCAACGTGTAGAAACCAGGTTAGCAACAGGTTTTTCCAAACTCCCCTACGATGAACGACTAAAACCACTGGACACTATTCTTATATCTTAACTCAGAATGTGATGTTGTTGTGGTATTGGCCATAGCTGCACAATCTTCAGAACTGAACGTGAGATAACTGGGAAAATAGATATTCAACATTTAACACTGGGAGAAAGCCAACATAATAGAAGGTGGGAATGATTCATTCAATCGGATGGTATGACTCAACCTTGCAATCGTGATCATTTTGTGAAACTCATCTTTTTTACTCACATTAAATATGTTATTCTATCTCCATACTCCATGTGTTCTTTTGAAACGCCAAACATTTGCATTGCTGTTCGTTACAAAAAGACGAGTTCGACTAGACAATGCTGTAACTTCTACGTATGATCTCATGGATTAGGATGTCACATCATGACAAATTTACAATTTTAGGATTAGGTCTATTATCATAGCAGTACTTATAAGGAACTAGACCATAATTCTACAGTATCATCTTATATGAAGAATGTGCTTGCCAAATAATGATTTTAGTGTCAACACATCTGATCGTTTTTATACCTCCAGAACTAACTATCTACAGAGCCACCACTAAATGACTCAAAAATTGCGATCAGATAAACTTGGTGTGGGATTCCGTTTTGCATCGAGCGATCAATGAATAAAGAGCCACACCTAAATGGGTGGAATCAACGTCTTCTGAAGGCACTTTAGAGCAGAAGCTGAGTCCTTACTGGAAAACAAGCTATGAGGATTAATGCAGGTCAAACAATTCACTATCCTTATTTCTGTAGATTAAAATTTAACCAGGTAAACTCAAATTATTTTGTTAGAACAGATTAAAAACTGGATATAAGATTGAATCATATGGCAACTATGTCACTTATGCACCATAAGAAATCTTCTGCCCACACGTTCAATAATGTCGATAGATAATAAAACATCAGGTCTGTTAGTTCCAGGTTAAAGGCAAAATACAGTGTGATGACTGAAGTGCATAGTATCATAGTCAGTATTTCAGAGTTACTGTCACCGTCAATAACCATTATCGTAAACCAAATAGTAGATAACAGACAATCAAATAATTGGTATGTTATATATCCCAGATAAGGCACCTGCATTATTGGTACTTTAAATTATTTGAATATATTGAAAAGTTAGTTAATTAGTATCAGTTCCTGCCAGTTCGATATATATAATGAAATAGGCCTGCAGTCTACCCTAAAGATTTGATGGTAAAAGTGGTACCAATTAGAGATATTTTGTTTTCATTGGGCTTCAAGAACACACTGACCTCTGAATTACTCTGGTGTTCGATATGCATTACAAAAAATATATGAACGGAGCTGCAAACCAAGAGCTATGGCTGATCACTTTGACACGCTGCCACACACTTTCCTACTAGTCAAATAACACGTTCCCCGTAAACCAGCTCCATTCTTGTTTGCGAAGCCGTATGTGCCATCGCGAGTCCTGAATTATGATTACCAGGGCATTTCCCGGCTCAAGGTTGTCGAGAAGTAAGGTACCGCAAATGCTCATTTAATGGCATCTCATGTTCCCCATAGTTACCAGAGACCCTGAATAAAAATTTTGGTCCATCGTTCATTATTTGTGCAGGTGAGATAAAGCTGTGGAAAGCAGTCAGATATGAAAACAGCCAAAAAGTGCTTTGAATAGAAATAGTACTAGAGAAGGAGTAGAAAAACATTTTCGCATCCCACCAGGAAAAGTGACAATGCTTTTCCGAACTACATAAAAACATAAATTTAACCATCGTCTGTCTAAAGATTCGGCGAAAGGCGACTAAGGTTTATCGCCAAAGAAGAACCGGAAAGATGGTGCCAAAGTTAAAGTCATTCTCCATTTCTTTCGGAGTCAGCCAAGTACACTTGCACCGGTGCTCTTCATGAGTACGTCTATGATCTACATTTGTTCACACCTTGAAATTTACTACAGTTTTTCACATCACACTCTTCAAACCTACGTATAGTCTCCAAGACAAGTGTAGAAATACAAAAAAGTAGGATTAGTCCTGTGAAGACTGATTACACCCTCTAGAATAATCTGCGTTTATCCTTAGAATGAAAAGAATTTCACCAAGCCCTTCGATTCATTCATAATTCATACTATTATTAACATTTATATCAGCTTAACCCACAGTGATTAGTAGATTCAAAGTCATTGCACTTGATTAACAATCAATTAACTTGCAGGATTATCAGCATCCATAGTAAAAATGGAACAAAACTAGCAATGAAGTTCGTGATTCGCTTTTTGTCTAATTTGGGGCAAGTCGTCTAGATGTACCTGTCAATCGTCGAAATTCCTATGATCTGTTCATTTGAAAAGCTCCAATCACATTGTTGAACACTACCGTACCGTAACTGTGGGATTGAAGCATGACAAAATCAACTGATTTGCATGAAATAATCATACATATTTGTTTAGTGATTGATCAACATTACAACATCCCCGCGGTTATCAAAACGTACGTTACATTTTAGCGTGCAAATGCTCTAAGGTTCCTATGAATGCAATACGTTTTCATCTGGTATTATTTACTATCTGCCCGGTATAATACAACATAGCGGCAAAATTATCATTTATGAAGGCATTAATGAGATTTCAGATAACAAGCATTTTGACCTTGACTCAAAAGTTATCCATGTCAATGAACGGATTTCGCCACATGTTGAAATGGCTAAGTAGCCTTTTGTAGTTTTAGTTGAAATCAGTTCGCGATGGAAAAACCCGTCCTCCAACTGTTTACTTTAACTCCTTACACTAATGTATAACCCTATTTTTACCCATTCAAGACAATAGATCTAGTCAAGGTCACCTTAGTATCACTCAAATCTCCTCCACACATTGTGAACTTACCAAAAAAGTAGGAATTATAGGGAAAATGCCCCACAAATGTCTGCTTTCCTGCTCACTGTCCAACTAAATGTCCCCCGACTTGTTTTCTCTTCGTCTACATGACTGACTAATTAGTACACGGAAAATAATAAGTTCATGGCCTTTTCTTCACCAAAATAAACACCTTTTTCTTCACTGGACTTGATCTGGAAGTATCACCGTACACGTGTGTCAATCATACGGAGAAATTAATGCGAATAACATCCTTACTATAGGTTGTGTGATCATTGTCTAAGCAAACATAAAGAAACAAAAATTAACAAGCAGATTTAATCGATGATTGGGTCACTTGTGGTAAATTCCGAGGCATTTTCTCTCTAGGAAGATGTATGTTTACACTGTTCCTGTTAGTTGTTTGCCTGTGATTTTCTTATAGGAAACCCTTTTGCGAGCAGTTTGATTTTGTCAACTATTTTTCTGTGTATACAGTTTTCTATTCACATTATGGGAAAAAATACTCAAGACCTGTGTTTTATCATTATCTACGTTGAGCCTAAATTCTATGGATTTGTCATTAAACCACTGTGTTGAGAACTAACGCGGGTTTGGCGGGATATGTGTAAGATACTCATAACTTTCAATGTAAACCCATTTAAAATGCGAAACATGGCAGTATCTCCAGAACAAGCAGAAATTTAGTAGTAGATCTTTATTCACAGTCGGCGCTGTGTTTGCAGGTCATACGATCCAACTGAATTGTAAGTGGAGATTGTGTTTCCACATGCCGGCAGGGGTTTTTCACCCTACAAATGAATAACCAAATGATTCTAGTTGGGACTTGACAACATAATGACTAAATGTTTGAAAGGATAGATGGGGACTCGGTGGTTTTCCAACAGTCAGCATTATAATCCGCGCATTTGTATATTTTCAATTAGCATCCATCCCCAGTTTGATCCTTAACATGTTGTTTGAAATTTCTCTTAAGGATAGTGCACCGTTGTGACCAGAACTATCAAAATGAAGGCTTCATCTTCGTACTTCCAGAAGCTCTTTAGAATAATTTGATGTAGTGTAGTTAATATCATGTCTACTCACGGACTTTGTGGGCAATTGGGACACTACAAACTTCTAACTAATCCATTGCACCGTCAGTCGAACTATTCCTATATTGTACAACCGATTATCGAAATTGGACCGAAAATGTAACAGGCTCATTATGGAATAGGAAACTGTATATCAGAGCGTTTAAATTGACCGCTTGTGATATATAATACGTAAATACATATGAAAAGCGATTTATCAGATTTCACTTTCAAGTAAGCCCTCAAATGCCCTGGTACGGCCAAGAGTGGGGAGAGTCCGCTCACCCTCTCAAAATGCTCTCACATGGCCACGCGAATATATAGCCTGTGCCAGGGAAGTCCTACTCACTGCCTTCTCGTGGCAGGGGTAATGTTTACGAAAGTGAGAGGACGAAAAGCGAATGTCCGGCGCTATAACCGGGTTGGTGGACACGGAAAGTTCTCCTAGGGGAGTTGGAAAACCCTCATTCCAAACCAATGGTGCACATGGGTTCCAGTATCTTGAGGGAACAAATGGAGTATGAACCAATTGTTTGTCACCGGCTACCATGGGACTGCATCTCCTCACGATGCTCCACTGCCTTGTGGGTTAGACCTCTAGGTTGAGGGCCCAGGGTGTGGTCCCCTAAGAAAACCACTTACTTCAGTTTGGGCACCTGGGCAGCATCACAGCCCTCACACAAATCAAATGAGATTTGTGCGGCGCATATATATCTGGTGCTTTCTTGTACCAATATTTATGTGTTTAAATAAATAACTTTCAAGTAAGATTAAGTATCATAAAGAAGTCAATTATAAGTGGGTTCCTATCGCATGATATTCTAAAATAATTGGAATAACTGCTTAGTAATGAATATCATTATTGTTTGAACGATAGGAAACGGATCGGATCAATAACTGTGATTCACTTTGAATCAACTAAAGATTGTCAGGAATAAAATACAATGATATGAAATATAAGGCCTAGTTTTTGAGACTATGTCATGATTATTATACGCGTGTAGTCTGGGTGATCATCAACTTATTTAGTTAAAAACTTAAAACATTCCCCCTCAAATTATTAATGATTTTAGCTTTTAAAGTCATAATGTCTATTTGAAATTTTTCTTTATGTTTCTCGGGTCATCTATTTGAAACAACTTTTTGCTTCTTTGTGTTGCAATATGGTCATCAATACCTGAATGCCCTAATTACAATACACAACATTTGATTTTTGTCCTTTTCAGATTGTACTGTTTGTTCCTTTTCAAACCACTTTGAATATTTAGATGGCACTGGTGGGTTACATTAACTCTCAAACCCCTGGACATATTTTAAATTGTTATGAAAGCTTTTGTGGTGGAAATCTCATCACCTTTCCGTGTGTTGAACCTCCACCTGTAGACAAAATACAATGCATGGTTTGCCGTAAACCCATGGACTTTATTATGCAGTTATATTGCCCGATTGGCGATTCAAAATATCACAGGACCCTTTATATTTTTGTATGCATTAATGGTCCTTGTCAATCCAGTGGAAACAACTGGAAAGTTTTGCGTTCACAATACCTCATAAAATTCGATCAAGATTTTCAATCAAAACCATGCACAAATTGGGGTGCTGACTATGAAAATGATAGTTCTGATGGGGAAAGTTGGGGTCAAGATGAAGATAAAGGTTCAAAAGTACGTTGAACGTTGATATCCTTTGTATTCGAGTTGAATGTCACCACTCCAGAAAAATAATGGTGCCTAGAGCTTTGAATGTTGGATACTGGAGTGGTAATTTTTGTTATATATCTAGTTCAATATCATTACTTCACATTCCTATGTTACTTTACTTACTTACGCCTGTTGCCCCCAATGGAGCGTAGGCCGCCGACCAGCATTCTCCAACCCACTCTGTCCTGGGCCTTCCTTTCTAGTTCTATACAGTTGTTATTCATTCTTCTCATATCGGTTTCCATTTCTCGGCGTAATGTGTTCTTTGCTCTTTCCCTTCTCCATTGGCCATCAGGATTCCAATTAAGAGCTTGTCTTGTGATGCAGTTGGATTATTTCCTCAATATGTGTCCTATCCACTACAAGCGCTTCTTCCTGATTTCTTCCTCCGCTGGAATCTGGTTTGTTCTCTCCCACAGTAGGTTGTTGTTGATAGTGTCTGGCCAACGGGTCCGAAGTATTTTGCGTAGACAACTGTTAATAAAAACTTGTATATTCTGGATGATAGCTTTCGTAGTTCTTCAGGTTTCCGCCCCATACAGTAGAACTGTCTTGAAAATTCTGATCTTGGCGTTGGTTGACAATTGTTTTGAGTTCCAGATGTTCTTCAGTTGTAAATATGCTGCTCTTGCTTTGCCGATTCGCGCCTTCACATCTGCATCAGATCCACCTTGTTCACCAATGATGCTGCCCAGATATGTAAAGGTTTTCACATCTTCCATAGCTTCTCCGTCAAGTGTGATTCGATTGGTGCATGTTGTGTTGTATCGAAGAATCTTGCTTTTCCTTTTGTATATGTTGAGACCTACTGCTGCTGAGGCTGCTGCTACACTGGTCGTTTTCTCCTGCATTTGTTGTTGCGTGTGTGATAGAAGGGCCAGATCATCTGCGAAGTCTAAATCGTCCAGCCGTATCCTAGTTGTCCACTGTATCCCGTGCTTCCCCCCAGATGTTGACGTCTTCATAATCCAATCAATCACCAAGAGAAAAAGAAAGGGTGAAATTAAGCAACCCTCCCTGACACTGGTCTTTACTTCGAACGATTCGGTGGGCTGTCCTCCATGCACGATTTTGCAGTTTAATTCATCATAAGAATTTCTGGTATTGAGAGAAGAGTGATGCCTACGTAATTCTCTTACCTGCTGAGATCGCCTTTCTTTGGTATCTTGATCAGGCGTCCTTTTTTCCTGTCTGTTCGTACTTGCTCTTCATCCCAAATCTTGCTGAGGAGAATGTGGAGTATCTTTGATGTTTGTAGTATCAGTTTATTTGTTAAGCCCATATACTTTATCCTAGCTACTGGCCAAGCCAATTCGCCTGTCATGAGTCATATTTTGATCTTGTTCATTATTCGTTTATTAACCTTGACTATACTTTTATATGAGCATATATGTGTACACTTTGTATCTTATTCATCATATGTCTGTCACTCATTTTTGTCCGACTATAAATGTTGATTAACGCTTGCTTAAATCGAGTTGGCTTCCCAGCCATCTCCACTATGCATCATCCATTACCTATAAACACTGCATGTCATTTCCGCCTCGTTCACTTCCTTCGCTTATTCGCCTGTTCACTCGCTCGTTATTATTCGCTCAGGTGTTGCTAACTTTCTGACCTGAGTTATTCGACAATAAACTGATACTACAAGTTACCGCTACGTCTGCTTTCAGTGCTTCTGCTGGTCCCGCTTTTGGTTTGTCTGATGGCCATGCTGATCTCTTCAATTATTGGTGGCCAAACATCGATTGGGAGATTCGTGTGTGCTACTTCGATTTTGGGTGGGTTTAATGAAGCTGATCGACTAAAGAGTTCTTTGAAGTGTTCTACCCACCTGTTTCGTTGTTCTTCAGTGCTGGTAATTGCTTTTCCTTCCTTGCTTTTCACTGGTCGTTCTGGTTTACGATAATTTCTAACAAGCTTCTTTGTTGTATCATACAATCGTCTCATGTTTCCTTCTCTTACACCCTTTTCCGCCGTCACTGCTGAATCTTCCACATATTTACGTCTGTCGGTTCTGATGCCCCTCTTCACTTGCTTGTTTACCTCTGTGTGTTTGGCTTATGCCTCGTCTTTTTCTGCTCTTGTTCGTCTGGTATTGATTGCTGCCTTCTTGTTCCTCCTTTCTTCAATCTTATCCAGTGTAGCAACAGTGATCCACTCATTGTGATAGTGCTTCTTGTGGCTCAGAACTTCCTGACATGTTAAAGTCATTGCTTCTTTTATCCCTTTCCAGTTGCTCTCCATAGCCGTTCCCTCTCCATTGAGTAGATCATCAAAGGTCTGGAAGTTATTGTTGAGGGCTATCTTGAATTTGTTGAGTCTGTCAGTATCCCGAAGAAAAACTGTATTAAACTTTTGTGATGTCCGCCCCGCTGTCCAGTGCTTCTTAGGTTTTAATTTCACCTTGGCAATCAGCAAGTGATAGTCTGATGCTATATCAGCTCCTCTCCTGTTTTTCATATTCTCCATCGTCCTCCTGAACTTTTTGTTGATGCAGATATGGTCAATTTAGTTCTGGTTAGTGTGATCCGGTGAAGTCCGTCAGGTTTTGTGAGTGCGTTTGTTTAGGAATATAGTGCCACCCATGACCAGTTTATTGAAGACACATAGCTTTGCAAATCTCTCAGCATTTCCATTCATTTCTCCCAGTCCATGTCGTCCCATGATGTCTTCATATCCGGTGTTGTCCATTTCAATCTTTTCATCTAAATCTCCCATCAGAATGGTCAAGTCCTTTGTTGGGCACTCCTCGACAATTGACTGCAGCCTATTTTAGAGTTGATCTTTAACGTCTTCATTGTAGTCGTTGGTAGGCGCATAGCATTGGATGACGTTTATTGTAGTACCCTCTCTCTATGTTTTGAAAGGGACTTTGATGATCCTTGGTCCATGAAGTCCCCATCCTATAAATTTATTTTGTGCTTGTTTGGGTAGCACCAGTGCAACGCCTTGTGTATGTTGAGCTCCCTTGAAGCTAGCCGTTGTTGTCCAACCTGCGTTCAATGTATTTCGCTGATTTCAAGCACCTCCAGGTTGTATTTTCTCATTTCTGCAGCAATTTGGATGGCTCTCCAGGTCTCCTACATTGTACAAACATTCCATGTACCTAAATTAATGGCTGCTCTGGTTGTCAGAAAGGGCATCAGCCTCGTGATTTCTGAAGGAACTCGGCTTTCACCATGAGGCATCATAACACTTCTAAATAAAGACCTTCTAACTTCTAGGACAGAGTTCAAATGGTTTAAATTATTTTCTCTGGTTAGCGTTTTTTTAGTGAGTTAGTTTTTTACGGGATGGGGTCGGTAACCCCATGTTCAACCCTCCTCCTTTATCTGGGCTTGGGTCCTGCGGTAGCTCTCAGAGGGGCTCCAGGCGGAGTTCGTCCTCATGTTAATTATAAGTAAATACAATTATCTTTGGTCTAAATATATGTTATAAGTACTAAAATATTTTTTAGGCTCAATGAAGTTCCTAACTAAATGTTTTGGGTTTATCCACCTATGGTAACAAGTTAGTATAGTTTGGCAAGTTACATGAACATTAATTGATTATCATTGAAGTTTTCATCTAATCACTTCTATCCCTCAACATATCTGAATTGGAACTAGCGAACTGTGTTAAATAAAATATGAATTTGCTATCCCAATAAAAATAAATGAGTAGTCGCTAATTAAACGGTTTCTTATTCGATTGTAATTGCCTTTATCGCTAAGATTAATGAACCACATTTTGCTATTTATGAGTTTAGCAAATCTACTTATTTATAAACATGGAAGTTATGAACCGTAGTTTAAAGCAGTTAGATTTCAATTTAAAAGTGAGTGAATTTTGTCGGTATGTAATATCTGATTACTTATCTTGAAAGAATTGTACTAACGAGTCAGAGTAAATTAAAAGTATCATAATTGGTGGACACGGAGGGTCCACCTAGGAGAGTTGGAAAACCCTGATTCCAAACCATTGGTCCACATGGGCTCCAGTATCCTGACGGAACAAATGGCGTATGAATCAATCTCTGGTCACCGGCTACCATGGGACTGCATCTCCTCACGATGCTCTACTGTCTTGTGGATCAGATCTTTAGGTCAAAGGCTCGAGGTGTGGCCCCCTATGAAAACCACCTGCTTCGGTCTAGGCACCTGGATAGTATCCAAGCCCACACACAAATCAAATAAGATTTGTGCGGCGCATATATATCTGGTGCTTTCCTGTACCAATATTTATGTGTTTAAATAAATAAATCGTCATTTTCAATATTTCCACTTTAGACTCATTGTAAAATCGAAAATCTAAATGAACAATCATCTTCTCTTAACGGTCGTTTTCAATGTTATTCAATTGACATCTACGAAGATACTATTATTACTACCACTAGTAGTAGTCATACTACAGAACCTGAAATAGACACAGCATACCATAATGATGACGATATTGAAGTCAATTCCAGTTCACCGTCCATTAAAAACATCCTATCTAAATGGTCAGAAAAAGTTTTAATCGATCAAGAATTCATTGAAGAAGATGATAATACTGGCCCTGAATCTTTTAGTGACGGATTATTATCTCACATTGCTAACAGAGGAGAGTATGGATGTGAAGATATTCGTTATTGGTGGTCTGGACAACCGATTTTCAATGGTCTACCTCCAAGTGATTTAGTCAATTATTCAACTTGTCATCGATGTGGTTCAGAACGAGTATTTGAATTACAAATTTTCTCTACAATTAATAATTCTCTTAAGGTATCAACTTTATTAAACGATGAGTTTGACGGATTAAATGTTAGTTGGTTATTAAATATTGTCACAGTATTAATATTTACTTGTCGAAGCTCATGTTGGTCACAAACAACAGATGATTGGATAGAAGAATGTGTTATAGTCCAAACAGATAAAAATGTAACTAAGATCATCTGTCCATCATAGTAATAATGATTAGTCTGTAAATATGTATTATACTGTATATATCTATTGTTTTAATTATAATAATACTTATCATTGAAATAGCACGTTTCCTTCCTCAATAACCATGTGGTAAAACTTAGTATTGTTTGTTTGAATCTTCCCATTGATGTTTTTAGGACTGCAACTGGGTCAGTCTCTAATTGGTATATGTGCATACTGTGCGTATTGCCTCGATATAGCCTTAATTTAAAAGCATTGTGGAGTGGATAACACGATGGCGTTTGAAGCGAAGAGTACTAGGTTCGAGTCTCAGAGTGAACATCAACTGTGAGATGTAGGTACATCCAGCGGACGAGCCCCAAATAGAACGAAACGCGCGTCAAACTGGATCCCACTGCTAGCCAATATCCATCTTTGCTTACAATCATGTGATAAAACTGTTCCTTGTATTTTTTGTGAAAAGTAATTCTCATCGTTAATAATTAAAAAGTTGAAGACAATGGTGAATTGACTCTTCCTAGTTTAAAACCATTTAGTAACCAACCTTCATGTTTTATCAGATCAAATCCTGAACGTCCGGATGTCTCATGAATCACGACATCTTCCAACTACTGTGTAAAATTCTATATATCATAGATATTCTAACTTCAGTCAATTTACTATACGTCCACATACTTTAGATGCATATTGATGTGAAGTCGCAGTTCCAAATAAGATCGCTATCTAAAACTTTGTAGTTTCCAGTCGTAATGGGAATCTCATCCTTTCTCAATTATTTGCAATCATGTACTGTCGTGGTGCTCTTGAAATTAGAAACAAAAACATGCTCTCAATAAGGATTTACGATTCAAAGTTGTTGAGTATGTGTATTTGTAGTTGGAATGCAACCAGATAAAAAGTGCGACAATCCTTGTATTTTCCATTGATTATGACACCGTCACTGCTTCTAATTCTATGTGAATTGTCTTGAAATAATTTTATCTCTCTGTGCTAATGTGGTACAGCAACCTAAATGGATGGACATACATATCAAGTTCTACGTTGTATATGACTGACCTAATACTATCGATCTGAGCAACTGCACCAAAGGATTCATTCAAACAAATATCTACAACTGATTACATTGCTTTCTTGTGAGACAATAAAGCCTAGTTATATGTGACCAACAGCCCTATAATTGCCATTCAGCATATAGTGGTAGACTTTAAGTTCATAATACTAGCTCACCAACTATGTATGGATTACTTTACTTGAAATGAGGTGATACTGATTGTAAGAGTTGCATCAACTTAGTTAAAACAGTCTAGATGATTTAAACAATAATCAAAGTATAAGTTTTGTTATGACTCGTATAACAATCGTTATTGTATATGAAACGTGCAATGATACAGAAAATACGTACGAGCAGTCTCGATTGCTATTCGGTCCTTCCTAACTGCCTAGCCCAGCCAGTTGAGTCCAGAACACAAATAACAGCCTCGGAAATATGAATCATTATTCACAAGCACACTGGGTTATATATACTAACCAAACAGACCCAATTATACCAAAAAATAGAAAAATAACATTTGTACAGTAATTGGCCAATGTGGCTGTAGCTAGGGGGAAAGTAATCAATAATAATAGTTCCAAGGTCAAAACAAAGGTTGTGATAAGAGGAACACGGAAACGATTAGGTCACTTATTTAACAACTATCCAATAGGGAATGGGCATATTGTATTTGTCCATAAATAGACATCAGATTTAGGTTACTCATTTAACAACTATCCAATAGGAATAGGCGTATTACATTTGTCCATAAATGGACATCAGATTTATGATTCATAATTCGCCAGGGGATACAACACCTCCCCTTTTTGAGAAATCCGGATTTTTAATTTTCTCGAATTCACCCTCCCCCACGAAAGACTGTTGGATCCTCATATAGCCAAGTTACTATTAATGCGATATGTTTGTCACATTTAACAGGGAATGCATTAGAACTGACGAGATCATGAGGATCGACGACATTTGATTCGAGGTCACCAACATTTGATTCTTCTGAAATAGTTTCCTTGAATTTCCTCGGAACCTCATTAGTAGATAATGAATCATTAGGATAATCAGTATCTATGAGAGTTGTATTGGATTCTTGATTATCATTAAATACATCTGACATTTTTCTCTCATTTTTATAAGAGAATTCAACAGAAACATATGAATCATCAAAATAATCTAAATCTGGTAGAACAATTACAGAATTTTGATCATTAGATTCATTAGAAACATTTTCCGTATCATGATTAATTTCATTTGGTGCCACTGTATTCCATATACTGCTCGATTTGTTTCCCGTTTCTTCGTGGGCGGGTACTGCAGCAATTTCATGAGCATTTTGCAAGACATTTACTTTCTGTGAATAGGATAATTCATTGTTTGCACGTCCGTTTTCGGGATTAATAAGACTTGGACCGTGTACAGGGCATGTCTCTGAAACAGGTAGTACTGGGTTACTGGGCTGATCATGTATAACTGCTGCGCTTAAAATATTGCTTCGTATGGATTCATTGAGGCTTTCGCCGGCATATTCATTAGTTCTGTAATCGTTTTCCAGCTCTGTACGCAATTTTGAAATTATTGCGTCAACTTCCGTTTCACCCCCAAAGCATGGGTGATTCAGCAGCTTCGCGTGTAATTTGTCAATGAAATCCAATTGACTCTTTCTGAAGCGCTGCTCTTGTCGCTGGATTAGCAACTGAAATTGGTCGGAAGTTAAGGCCATTTTTTTAAATGTAAATAATAATAATAAATCCAAAAAAAACACCGGCAATTATTATGGATTATTTAATTCCGAAATGACTTCAGCGGCTGCTGTATTTTTTCCCAGAATCCCCGTCGCCAATTGTTATGAACGTATAACAATCGTTATTGTATATGAAACGTGCAATGATACAGAAAATACGTACGAGCAGTCTCGATTGCTATTCGGTCCTTCCTAACTGCCTAGCCCAGCCAGTTGAGTCCAGAACACAAATAACAGCCTCGGAAATATGAATCATTATTCACAAGCACACTGGGTTATATATACTAACCAAACAGACCCAATTATACCAAAAAATAGAAAAATAACATTTGTACAGTAATTGGCCAATGTGGCTGTAGCTAGGGGGAAAGTAATCAATAATAATAGTTCCAAGGTCAAAACAAAGGTTGTGATAAGAGGAACACGGAAACGATTAGGTCACTTATTTAACAACTATCCAATAGGGAATGGGCATATTGTATTTGTCCATAAATAGACATCAGATTTAGGTTACTCATTTAACAACTATCCAATAGGAATAGGCGTATTACATTTGTCCATAAATGGACATCAGATTTATGATTCATAATTCGCCAGGGGATACAACACCTCCCCTTTTTGAGAAATCCGGATTTTTAATTTTCTCGAATTCACCCTCCCCCACGAAAGACTGTTGGATCCTCATATAGCCAAGTTACTATTAATGCGATATGTTTGTCACATTTAACAGGGAATGCATTAGAACTGACGAGATCATGAGGATCGACGACATTTGATTCGAGGTCACCAACATTTGATTCTTCTGAAATAGTTTCCTTGAATTTCCTCGGAACCTCATTAGTAGATAATGAATCATTAGGATAATCAGTATCTATGAGAGTTGTATTGGATTCTTGATTATCATTAAATACATCTGACATTTTTCTCTCATTTTTATAAGAGAATTCAACAGAAACATATGAATCATCAAAATAATCTAAATCTGGTAGAACAATTACAGAATTTTGATCATTAGATTCATTAGAAACATTTTCCGTATCATGATTAATTTCATTTGGTGCCACTGTATTCCATATACTGCTCGATTTGTTTCCCGTTTCTTCGTGGGCGGGTACTGCAGCAATTTCATGAGCATTTTGCAAGACATTTACTTTCTGTGAATAGGATAATTCATTGTTTGCACGTCCGTTTTCGGGATTAATAAGACTTGGACCGTGTACAGGGCATGTCTCTGAAACAGGTAGTACTGGGTTACTGGGCTGATCATGTATAACTGCTGCGCTTAAAATATTGCTTCGTATGGATTCATTGAGGCTTTCGCCGGCATATTCATTAGTTCTGTAATCGTTTTCCAGCTCTGTACGCAATTTTGAAATTATTGCGTCAACTTCCGTTTCACCCCCAAAGCATGGGTGATTCAGCAGCTTCGCGTGTAATTTGTCAATGAAATCCAATTGACTCTTTCTGAAGCGCTGCTCTTGTCGCTGGATTAGCAACTGAAATTGGTCGGAAGTTAAGGCCATTTTTTTAAATGTAAATAATAATAATAAATCCAAAAAAAACACCGGCAATTATTATGGATTATTTAATTCCGAAATGACTTCAGCGGCTGCTGTATTTTTTCCCAGAATCCCCGTCGCCAATTGTTATGAACGTATAACAATCGTTATTGTATATGAAACGTGCAATGATACAGAAAATACGTACGAGCAGTCTCGATTGCTATTCGGTCCTTCCTAACTGCCTAGCCCAGCCAGTTGAGTCCAGAACACAAATAACAGCCTCGGAAATATGAATCATTATTCACAAGCACACTGGGTTATATATACTAACCAAACAGACCCAATTATACCAAAAAATAGAAAAATAACATTTGTACAGTAATTGGCCAATGTGGCTGTAGCTAGGGGGAAAGTAATCAATAATAATAGTTCCAAGGTCAAAACAAAGGTTGTGATAAGAGGAACACGGAAACGATTAGGTCACTTATTTAACAACTATCCAATAGGGAATGGGCATATTGTATTTGTCCATAAATAGACATCAGATTTAGGTTACTCATTTAACAACTATCCAATAGGAATAGGCGTATTACATTTGTCCATAAATGGACATCAGATTTATGATTCATAATTCGCCAGGGGATACAACAAGTTTCTTATTTATTACTTCCACATTAATCACTACTGTCTTACTCAGATTACGTAAAATCTATGAAATACTAACTCGCTAAGAGCAGGTTCGTTTTGTCTTTCAGATTGTGGATGTTCTGTTCACGTATTAACCCTCAACTACTGAAAAACTTACATTTATTGCAAGACAGCAATAGTTATTTTTCTTAATAACAGAACAGCCTTCGTATCGTTGCACAGGGCTGTACTGAAATCATCTATTGAAGATGTGTCTGAGTTTACTGGTATTAAAGTCCCTGTACAGAAACACAGAATAAAGGAATGCAACTATTCCTCTCTAGTGTCCCAATGAAGATGTGTTAGGTAGGGTTGTTCAATTTTACCATTCCTCTCCAGCTTTGCTATCGACGATATCTGAGAAGTAGCTCTGTCTAACGCTTGTGAAACCTGAGAATGTTCGTCGATCCCCCGTGTTTGAGCACTTTTGTGTTTGATGGGTCGCTAATATCTGGTGGCAACACTGCTTAGTTAATAATAACAACCAGCAGCATGTTTGGGCTCAGTGACAATAGCTTAACGTGCCAACACCAGCTCTGGTAATTTGGATATGTACTACAATTGTTGTCCCAGAGAATTTCACATCATGCATTATTTGTTGACGCTAAGATTAGTTGGAAAAAGTTTATATTTGGTCAGCTGATAACACCTCCATGATACAAAAGATAACTGTGTAGGACTGAGGATCTGTCGGTTTATCACGACTCCTGAGGGGGGGGTTACAGATTATAGGGTTATAGACTAACATGAAAAACTCTATTACTATATTTCCTGTTAAATATCCACTTACAACAAAAAGTTTACCATTTTGTTGTATCCGAAGAGTAATTTATGGATAACTTCCGGGAACTATTGATAGACTGTTATTATATATTTTATCATATGGCTGTTCACTAGCTATATGTATATATTCACATTTTTTTATCATAAGCTTTCATTTGGCCTATTAGCTACTATTATACAATTCACTATTTCTAAGTTATTCCCAACCTATTATTAACAGTCTCTCATACTCAAAGCCACTTTTGACTTGATCTTGTGTAATTGATATTTCTTATTGTATGGTGTGTTGCGGTCTGGTTTGCTTGTATATAAACTACATATATTTGAAATATATTGTTCATACAGTGGAAGCTGAGACTGTGTTCTGGACTGAACGGGAAGGGTTAGGCGAGAAGCTATTAGTGCTGGATGACCTGTCATTGGTTTAGCACAGGAACAAGGTCACACAAGTCGATATTCTGATTGACTTCGTCAAGTGATAACTGACAGGGGCAAAATTTGTACTCTGATCAAAATATAACACTTCATATTGATCGGAAAACATTCCAATGATTAGTGCAGTACTACTTATGGTGATTGTCATTACTTACTTCATTCGAAACATTGAGTTTTAATCGTTTTGACAAGCGATAATATTAAATGTGGCTTCTAGTCAACATGTATCTACAGCAATAAGGATTCAAGTCATAGTTAGCATCAGGGAAACGATCTTAATTAAGCAATCAGCAAACAATGGAACTGTTCAGCTGTACGCATCCACGACATTGCCACCAGGAGTAGGACCCACGACTTTAACACCCATCAATTCATAATATCAAGCAACTACCTTCCAATGTAATCGGTTTAGTGAGTAACTGCCTCACATTCAAAAATACCTCGACTCTATTGACCTCAGTTTCTCACTGAACTGTAAAATTAACTCTTCGAATAATCTCCATCCATAAACGCCTGTACTAATTAACCATGTGTTCATTGGTGATCGAATTCATACAAAACGTCAGACTTTGAAAGGTTCATATAGTAACTAATAACATTCCCATTGGTGAACACAGAAAGTTTACCTAAGGGAGTTGGAAAACCCTCATTCCGAACCATTGGTGCACATGGGCTCCAGTATCCTGACGGAACAAATGGCGTATGAATCAATCTCTGGTCACCGGCTACCATGGGACTGCATCTCCTCACGATGCTCTACTGTCTTGTGGATCAGATCTTTAGGTCAAAGGCTCGAGGTGTGGCCCCCTATGAAAACCACCTGCTTCGGTCTAGGCACCTGGATAGTATCCAAGCCCACACACAAATCAAATAAGATTTGTGCGGCACATATATATCTGGTTCCTCCTTGTACCAATATTCATGAGTATAAATAAATAAATCATAACATTAAATTCATTTAGTATTGTTTGAATCATCGCATCGATGTGTTAGGTCTGTAACTGGTCAATCTTTAATTGGCATATGTGCATACTGTGCGTATTGCCTTGATATAGTCTTAATTCACAAGCATGGTAAGCAAAGATAGATAGTGGCTAGCAGTGGAATCCAGTTTGACTCGCGTTTCATCCTATTTGGGACTTGTCAGTTGGATGTACCTGCCACATCTCAGAGTTGATGTTCACTCTGGGACTCGAACCCAGTGCCTTTCGCTTCAAACGCCATCACGTTATCCACTCGGCCAATGAGTCCTGATAACATTCCCTGGTTACTTTATAACATTCAAAAAAAAAAATTTAAAAAACAAACAAACTATGGAATTTGAAATAATTTTAATAAATAACAATAATGATAATAATAGTTAAATCATTGTTTTAAATAAACAATTAACTGGAAATCCATATCTGTCATACATGATTATACTTGACGGTTATTATCATTATTATTATTATTGTTACTAACAGGAGTAAAATTAGGCAAATGAATTGATTATTGAGAAATTAACAAGGATATCATTTTATTACATTGGTCATTGAATCAAAATTAATCGGAACAATAAAAGAAGAAGACCCGATAGAGAGAGAGGGGGGGGGAATGAAAAAAGAACCAAATGGAATGATACGAGAAAAAGAATAATATTCATACACAGACAGACACACACAAACATAGATATTATCAAAATAAACAAATATATATGTAAATGTGGATCATGTCAACTGAAGGGGGGGGGTTGTTTTATTTTCCCTTAATCATGATCTTTATAGGATCATAATTTCTCTTAAATAATCTTTTTGAAAATAACATACATTAGATAGTAAAAGAGGAAAGATTAATCTTAATTAGATATTATATATAAATTAAGTTGCCAAGAATGAATTATGCTAATATCATTTATATAAAGGATAGAATGTATTAGTTTGTTTATCTATTCAATAAAGAGACATATAAAGGTTAATATTGACAATACTACTACTACTACTACTACTGATAATAATAATAATGATAGTAGTAATATCCTTTTCATTGAATACACAATTCTCACAGTTTTAAATGGTAATGTATGAAAGTAAAGTGGATAGAAGAACAAAGCAATAATAATAATAAACGATAGTTTACCGGCTTTTATTGCAGAGTTAAATAAGAAAAACAAATTGAAAATTTATAAACAATAATGTATGGTATTGATGATGATGGTGTTTGTCTCATAGTTGCTAACTTCACTAGCGTAGTTGAAGAATGCTTTGGATCTATGTATATATTATATAATATGAGAAATAAGTATAGTTGGTCGAATAATGATAGATATCTTTGTGCGTGTGTGTGTTTGTACTCTTGATGTTCATATTATCAGTGTTATATAATATGTGTACAAGTTGGTTAATATGAGGAAATATAGGTTATCTTTAATTGTCATGATAAATTGACATGTTGCTTATAAGACATAAACACACACACATACAACGAAAACAACAAGAAGAAGAACAATTGATTTCTATGATGATAATGGATTAATAACTTCAACATAATTAACTGGGAAATAACCTTTACGACCATTTAATTCACCTTCAAACCAATTCTCATCAACTCGTAATATTAAACTAATGATATCACCTTCAGAGAATGATAATTCTGAATCATTTTCTGCTTCAAAATCAAATAATGCTTTACAAGATGGTCCTAAAACTATAATAATAATAGTGATAAATATTACTTGAAAGGTTAATTAGTAAATATTAAATGTGATAGTACTGATGAACAGCATATACAATAAAACTTTAATATTCACATAATGTCAGTGGAACGATGGAGTTTGAGGGGATCAATCATTTTTTCTGTGATCAAAAACGATGTAGTTTCGGACGGTCAGATAGTATCACAATTCCTCGCATAAAAGCCTCGGTTCTATAGAGTGGATTTACTTGGTTACCAATTTAATTAATGAGATTAGGCTGTCTAACACTTACTCGTTTTCAAGTGGTGTCTAGTTAGAGTCAGTCTGTGATCTAAACTATAAAACACAAAAATTTTTCACAATCTCCATGCTAATAATAATCATGCGTCCAAAAGCGACTAACTGCGTAGTATTTCTTGAAATTTCATTAAGAAACCCTAACCAGTGAAAGTCCACTACGCCAGAGATGAGACAACAACGACAAGGAATAATGAGATGATAGTATCGTGAATTTACTGTAGCAAATATCTACACTGATGAATACTGACTTAATGGTCTAAGCACTAATTGCGAGGTCTAGAGTCTTCTGGTCTCGATGCCGGGGAGAGTCGTAGATGTATACTCATGAAGAATACCATACTAGCAAAGAACATTGATTTTCCCAGTTTCCAATGGTTCTGTAGCTAAAGCCGGTATGTTATCCAAACTACAAATCAAGCCTCAATCTGTGTTTCTCATTAAGCCTTGAACATAGAGAACGCTAAAATTGAGGTTTGAATCTATGTTTGATCTATTTGGTTGATAAAAAGCGAATATTTTCAGCATTCAGCCATCGTTCTCTTATCAGATGATAAATTCCTTTTGTATAATTTTTGATTTTCTATTTACTGTATAACGGAACAAACCAAAGAAATTATAGAATCTAATAAATATGTTATTGATACAAAACTTATTCATAAAAGTTGAATGCTGGTTGATATTAAGCTATCATGAGTTTGGATTAGTTTGTTACTATAGTAAACGGGGTTTTGTTAATTAGTTGATAGCGTATAGATTAATTGAACATTGTCATAGATATATTTATCATTCCATAAGATGATAGATAACTTAGTTAAGAATAGTAAATGAATGATATCAACAATGATCACAATAAAATAAATCTATTCTTCATAGTTGAAATTATAAGTCAATTGAAGCTAGACCACCATGGAAAACCTGAAAGCACTGGACGACCGTTTCGTTCTACTGTGGAACTCCTCAACAGTGCGCATCCATGATCTATTCTTTAAGAGAACAAATTTCTTGATATTGATGTTAATGGTTTTAAAGAAAGAGAAATGATTAACTTGAAAGGTTAAAATATTATGGTCCATTTAGCAAAATTAAGAATTATTGGTGGTTACAGTATAAATTTATATCAGCTCAAAATGATATATCATTATCAAGAAAAACCAGTTACAATTGTATTTACCAAAGTTGAAATCATGAGTCAATTGAAGCTAGACCACCATCGAAAACCTGGAAGCACTGGACGGCCGTTTCGTCCTACTATGGGGCTCCTCAGCAGTGCGCATCCACGAACCCACTATCGCGGGATTCGAACCCAGGACCTACCACTTTCGAGCCGAAGCCCTTAACCGATAGACCACTGAGCTGGCATCCAACGGTGTTAATGTCTAACTTCAACTGATCCACGAAGCGTGGGTTCGTGGATGCGCACTGCTGAGGAGTCCCATAGCAGAACGAAACGGCCGTCCAGTGCTTCCAGGTTTTCGATGGTGGTCTAGCTTCAATTGACTAATGATTTCAACTTTGAAAAATACTGAAATCTCCACAAATCCCCTTCTAAATTGTATTTATGATTTGTTTTCCAATAAAGATTAACCTCAGATCATGATTAAACATTGAATGATGATTTAATGATCCAAGCACTCATTTGCATTCCCTTTAAGTATTTTCAGGCAACTTATTGTCATATGATCATGAATGAATGTTTTGATACATATATAATGGCTTTAGTCAGTCTCGATTGGTATGCTAATAACTATTTAGTAGTGGAAATACTTGATTTTTCATGATTAAACTGAAGTTTCAAATTCTGTTTCATACTCTTTGTTGTTTGAAAAGTATGATAGTATCATCAGCACTCATCACATAAACCAATGTGATTGAAAGCAAAGTACATAAAACTGTACTTGAGGAATCATACTATGAGAGGGAAGACAAGTTCTGATTTATAATAATAATTTCTTCTCAAAGATATGAATATAAATATTCCCTAAATAAAGACTGAGTACCTTAATCACTATGAAAATATTTGAGCATGTAAATGAACCATTTTGGTTGTTTATCTATTTGATAATTTAATGATGAGATATTTTCTTCCATATTTGGATGCTACATGATAACTACTGTTTAGTCAAATTCAAATATACATATATAGATTCAAAAACATTTTGTATTTCAATTCATGGTTACAAACTGTCAACAATGAATGGATTAATAGTGTTTAGATTATTATTTAAACACATAAACATTGGTACAACGGAACACCAGATATATATATGCGCCACACAAATCTCATTTGATTTGTGTGAGGGGTGTGATACTGCCCAGGTGCCCAAACTGAAGCAGATGCTTTTCTCAGAAGACCACACCCCGAGCCTTTGACCTAAAGATCTGATCCATAAGGCACTAGAGCATCATAAGGAGATGCAGTCCCATGATAGCCGATGACCAATGATTGATTCATATGCTATTTGTTCCCTCAGGATACTGGAGTTCATGTGCATCATTGGTTGGGAATCACGGTTTTCCAACTCCCCTAGGTTGACTTTCCGTGTCCACTAATCCGGTTAAAGCACCGGACATCCTTTTTTCGTCTTCTTAATTTCGTAAACAACACCCTCGCCATGAGAAGGCAGTGAGTAGGACTCTACTTACTCTCGGCCGTAATCAGGGCATTTAGGGGCCAGGTAAAAACGATTTATTCTTGTTTATACCAGATTGAATTAGAAACTACATTTCAATGAAACAAATTTGGCTCACTCTTCGAAATATTACCATTTATCCACACACACACACAAATAGTTGATAAATTCATTGAAACAAATGTGGGTAGGTACATATCAATATAGACACATATATATTGAATCCGATAAACTTGAAATGAAACTAATCATTCATTCAGTAACCATTATATATAACAAGAAATACTATTGTGATCAATATATATGAATGAGAAGAAGACAAACAAATCATACTGTGATAAACAATAATAGTATATCTAATTCTCAAAATGGAACAAACTCAAACTACTAACCAATTAGATAACAGTTGAATTGAGAGAGACATAAACTAATGAATGATATTAGAAGTAAAAGGTAGTAACAGGGAGAGAAAAAATATTTTTTCATTCTCTCCTATTCAATTCATCTCCCTCTCTTTTTGTGTATGTATCTACTTATAGATGTATTAAGTAATAAAGGATAGAAAAGCAAATCAATAAATGGTTATGATTGATTTCTGTTATAATATTATTATTACCTAATAAGAAGTCAAAAAGAGATAAAGAGACATAGTTGAATAAAATATCTCAATAAATAAGAGATGTAGATTGTAGATGATGTCAGAAGAGGAATTCAGAAAAATGGGAATGTGGTCATGTTTAACACTCGTCAGATGGATGACGTACATTAATCTATATAAGTACTGATGTTGACAGTATGATACAGATAACCAGTGGCTTGTTCGAAATCGAGGGAAATGTAAATTTTATATAGTTGGGATCATGAGTCCATTGAAACTGGACCATCACTGAAAGCATTGGACAGCCGTTTCGTCTTATTGTGGGAATCCGGTGGAGTTCATTCAACCAGGTCTGTTGGGAGATATCAACTCACTGAAGACATTGGTGAGTGGTTGATCGATTTCGTGTGTTGGTTGAAGCTAGATATTAACACCGTTGGATACCGGCCGGCTCAGCGATCTATCGATTAAGTGCTGTGGCGCGAGACTGGTAAGTCCTGGGTTCGAATCTCGCGAGGCGGAATCGTGGATGCGCACTGCAGAGGAGTCCCATAATAGGACGAAACTACCGCCCAGTGCTTCCAGGTTTTCCATGGTGGTCTATCTTCAATTGACTCATGATCTTAATTATATAAAATTACTAAAATCTCCACAAAACCCCATTCTGAAAATGTAAATCGTTGTATGTATCAAAGTATGATATATGGATTTAATTCCAAAAAAACGGATTTTGAAAATAGAAAAATTAAAAAAAACTTACTAGGTGCATTTTTTGTTGTATGAGAACTTGGACCATTTTTAGTTGGGGTATTTAAAGTACTATTTAATGGACTTCTACTCCCTGATATATCATGATTTAATGTATCATTTACACGTTTTATTTCATATAATTTACGTGGTTTTGACATTGATTCTTCTTTTCTATGGAGATAATAATAAGAATAATAATAATAATAGAGGAAATTTGTTACAATTGGGTGCAAAATAACTTTTTATACTACAGAAAACAGAAATTGAACTCTCATTTCATCAGGTTAGATTTTAAATGAAAGTAAACTAAGGAGTGATGGTACAATTGGGCATGAAAGAAAATAATCAGTCAGTCAATAAACAACGTAGAGCTTAGCATCAGTCACACAACAACAGAACGAGATGAAATTAGAAAGACAAATGACAGAGCAGTACAATTAGCAACAATACCAGTAGTGGTAGAAGAAATTAAGTATGGTACAAGGAATAAGATTTCGGGACTCAGATTATAAAAGGCAAGGAGTGATAAACCTGCTCCATGTCACCCAGTCTCTGATCTTTAAAAACGGTAATTACGCGAACCCCCGCCAAGTAATCCCCACCCACTAAAAAGAAGCAGAACAATAATTGATGGCTTCATAAACCAATGCCATGTCTTGAATTTGGCTGCCCCTACCTTTCTTATAACATCTTTCTACACAGACCATCATCGTAGGTCAAGGTAGGTAGTGACAGGGAAAATGTAATACATGTCTAAAACCATTACAATCGATGGAGATTCGCGACCTTATCAAATGATTTGCGATTCTTACCTAGCACCCTGCATCTAACCTTAGCATTGCTCACTCTGCTTCAAATGGGTCTATAATCAAGTGCTAGCAACTTATTAATATCCTCTATTTTTAAAAGTTGAGTTTCACGGTCATAAAGTAGAAAAGAACAAATCGGTATATAGTATACTTGTTCATTAGTTGGTGAACGGAAATAGTGCCACGGTCGCAAGTGATGTGAACTCTTAAAAGTCAACCGAATTTTTTTCTAAGGTTAAAAATCTCATGAACTGATTTTTAAATTCAGCGGTACTGCTCACACTTAAACTTCTGAAATACATGCGAGAAATAGTGGTGAATCATGGTAATTACCAGTCAAAGAACGTAAGTTTTGCCTCATAATCTTTGTTACAAGTTCAATAAAAAGCATTGCAATGAGTATGTCAACTTTGTAACTAATTACTTCAAATAATATTTAATTATTACACATAAATTCTGCGACAACTTGGCACCAAAAGAACTCACTCCACACAAATAAGGAAAGGAATTAAAACAGAACAATAATGGATAAAAATATAAGAATATTGTATAACAGAAAACACAATGAAGATGAGAATAAAATTAAAGCAAAATTCCTTCAATCAATGAAGTTACTTGGACTATTATGAAGAGTGTAATAGAAAATTAAATAAGGTTCTGTACTGACCAATATTCTGAGGTGTATCTGACAACTTCTCGAATGAGTAAAATGAAAGAACCTTAGGACCTAAAATGGAGAGTTATTGTAGACCAACAGATGGCAATTCTAAAATATCTTTCATTCATATCACGACATCATGTCATAAACTGAACGTCTCTTTGCTTTCTCAGCCAAAAGGCTGAGAAACAATAGTAACATCAGTCGAATTACTGTCACTGAGCCCGACATAAATTGTAAAATCTCAGGATTACTAAGGTGGTGTTGCCACCGGATGTCCATCTCCCCTCGAGGACAAAAACGGTTGAACACAGAGCTACAGAACATCCTTAATTCGGAGAGACCAGCTTTCATAAAGCGAACTGATCTCACTGACGCGTTGTAAATCGGACCGTTAACTACAGCCAGACTAGCATAACCATAAAACCGAAGATTGCCCAGATTGCCATTGATCACTATACCTTAATAATTTGTTGTGCAAAACTACTTTTATAACTGGTCAGATCTACTTAGAGGGGTTTGATTTTAAATTATTTCACTTTATGAACTGACGACAAATAGACAACTCATGAGCTGCACAATGGTTTGATTGTAGTTCAAGATTCGCTACAACCCCGTTTTTTCTTAAATATATGTGAAGCCCAAGCATTCGTGCTTCACACACTAAGTGAAGGTTAATACTACTAATTTATATTCCCGAGTAAAAAAAATCCAATAATAATGATCAGTAAGGAAGTCTGTGGAGATTACTGAATGTTATTAATATCATGAACCAACTGAAGTTAGACATCCAGGAAGCAACAGTCGGCCGTTTCGTCCCAGCAGTAGGCTTGGACAACCTTTCGATCATCAAGCCGGTATACTGTCCCTTGCATGTCCAACTTCAATTAATTCGTAATAATGTTCAACCATCTTATGATACAACCACTGACTGAAATGGTTTAACTCCCATTGATCACGATACCCATTAAAAGTATACGAATCACTTCTCAAAAATAAGTCATTACTAAGAACAATAACTGATTCTTCATTGTTAATGGTTGTTGAACTGAGATCAGTTTATGATGTAAAATTATGAAACTCAATAATCTACACAAACCTGTTATTTTATTTATTTATTTAAACACATAAATATTGGTACAAAAGAGCACCAGATATATTTGCGCCGCACAAATCTCATTTGATTTGTGTGAGGGCTGTGATGCTGCCCAGGTGCCCAAACTGAAGTAAGTGGTTTTCTTAGGGGACCACACCCTGGGCCCTCAACCTAGAGGTCTAACCCACAAGGCAGTGGAGCATCGTAAGGAGATGCACTCCCATGGTAGCCGTTGACCAATGACAGGTTCGTCCGCTATTCGTTCCATCAGGATACTGGAGCCCATGTGCACCATTAGTTTGGAATGAGAGTTTTCCAACTCCTCCGGTTAAAGCGCCTGACATTCGCTTTTCGTCCTCTCAATTTTGTAAACAACACCCCCGCCATGAGAAGGCAGTGAGTAGGACTTCTTTGGCAGAGGCTATATACGTGTAGCCATGTGAGAGCGTTTCGAGAGGGAGAGTGGACTCTCCCCACTCTCGACCATACTAGAGCATTTTGGTGGCAAATCTGTTATAGTAAAACGAGAAGAGTTATGCTCTAAAATACCCAACAACAACAACAAAGCATAGTGTATTAACGGATATACAAACAATAATTCAAAATTCCCTATTTCATTATTTATCCCCTAACACTGACAATGTCATTTACTTTTTCATAAATAGTAAGATATTTTACATGGAAGAAATCAATACAAAAATTGTAAAACGGAAGTGCGTACATACACATTCACACACACACACAGAGACAAACTTGCGTAATAAAGCGAATATACACATAGACACTAAAACATTCATTGAGTTGATAGCAACTTCTTGTTTGTTTGTTTTTAATGGTGTAGAAAATAAGAAAAAAACAAAAAAAAGAGAAACTTATATAGTTGCTTCTATAACATTTAGATGTGTCCATCTTTTTTTTCTGGAAAGAAATTGAAATTCACAATTTCATCACGAGAGTATTATTGAAACAAAGTGAATAGGACATAAGTTTCTATATGGCTATATGCAAGTGTGTATTATTTAGTATACATTGAGTAGAATTGAGGAAAAAAAAGATCTGAAATAGCTAATTTAGGTATCCTTTATTCTCTTTCTCTACCTCTCCCTCTTTTTGTACATGTGTACTTATATATATATATGCAGTAATACAGCATATATATTTAGGTATGAACAAGAACAAAATAGAAATACACTGAGATTTGCTGGGAGGAAGGTATATACATGGAGAAGATAGATGAATCAATGAAATTGCATTGATTGCATAAGTAGTAATAAGATGAAAGACATAGTAAAATTCTCTAATAAATCTAAGAAAATTTTTTTTAGAAAAGAACAAACACGAAGTCTATAAAGTGATATTAATTATTAGAAGACTAAATAGAATAATTTCATAGTTGAAATCATGAGTCAATTGAAGTTAAACCACCATGGAAAACCTGGAAGTACTGAACGACTGTTTCGTCCTATTATGGGACTCCTACCCTTCTGATAAATAGAATATATGTATATATCAGTGTAGCTTATGTAATTGCGGAAACTAAAATAACTAATGTTAAGAAATTATTCTCATTTTTGTATAAATTATGGAATAGGTGAAACAAATCCACATGTCATCTCATAGCAAAATTTGTAAAAGAACTGGTGTGAGTTGTAATGAATTATGCACCTAAGTTTTATTTGCTTACATGGCCCTCTTCCGTTTGAGTCAAGAGTCTTACAACCAACATATACGTATGAGTTGAAGGACAGAATCACTTGACCTTTAGTAGTAATATTTCGTATGGAGCGCATACGAGTATCCATTTATTTGAATATGTTAAACGTCAAAAAGGAAATCAAAGAAATTTAATTCAAAGTGTATATTACTGAACATTAAGAATATCCTGTGATGTGACAAAAAAACATCTTGTGTTATTTTGGGGTTCGTGAGACCAAGACGTAATTACAGGAGAACCGTTGTATTAATCCAGTTCAAGTATTAATTTAATAACAATAACCTTCTGCTAACAACCGAGAATAACGCTTAAAGACTATTGGTCTAGAAAACGATTCTTCCGCAACCGCTCGCCCAATAACCATGACAGAACATAATACAAAAAGTATAGAGCTTCTCAGTACATAAGTCAACAGGACTCAATTCATACCAAAAATGTTGACGACGCATCAATATAATGAAAAGGTTAAAATATCAGCAAAACTACGAAGTGAAAGAGAACTGAGTCGAAGGTGTATAATAAATCAAAAGTAACTTAAGAAAAGTACAATACATAATAATAGCTTATATATCCCGAAAATACTTACAAGTAAGACAATTAAAAAAAAAATACAGTAATTAAAGTATTTGATTGCTTTACAATAAAAATATAAACAATAACATAACACAGGACAGTTTCGAAAGTAAGTAAGTAAATGATTGGTAACAGTGAAAGTAAGATATAATTGGACAAACAGCTACAACCTACAAACTATCAAATATGTGATCCCCTTTTATTGATTTCTACTCTAAAATCACTCAGTGTGACTGCTTATAATTGCATTGAATAAAGTATTACTTAATATGTCAATCTGATTCTCAATTCTAGGTCGTGAATCCTAGTTCTGATAATAACATGATTAGTTTTATGGTACGTGTTGCTGATGTCAATAGATATAAATAGTATGTATCATAAATCGTAAGTGAAATACCTGATAACAGAAGGTTAGGAAGATCGAAGAAAAAAGAATGAAAATAAAGAATGGTTACTATGGAAACAAATGAACAATATAATCTGAGACAATTGATTGACATTTTGTATAGGTAGTATAAGTATAAGTATATTTTAAAATAATCCGTTATATCAGTAGATAATTATTTCAACATAAATAGATCAAGCAATACTCGATAAATAAGAGAAGCATTTTATTTTATTATGTAAATTATATATGATAGGGGATTTAGACAAGATTAAATACAAGAATAATTGATTATTTTAAAAAAAAAGAGGTAGGATAAGTATAACTTATTTACATTGTAATAGTTTTAATCATTATGACCTCTACTCATTTCAAAAAAAACAAATCTCAATATACTTAGTATTGTTTATTTGGATCTTCCCATCGATGTGTTTAGGACTGGAACTGGTCAGTCTCTAATTGGCATATGTGCATACTGTGCTTATTGCCTCGATATACCCATCTCTGCTTAAATCTCAATATATTTCTAATTTAAGTTTTATTTTATGTTAAAAAAAAAAAATTTTTTTATTTATAAATTAGGTCATTAAGTTAAGAAAAAATTTGTGAAACTATTATTTTTATTCTTAAACATTATATCATCTGCAAATGCCTTGGTACAGTCAATGGTGGGGTAAGTTAGTTCACCCTCTCAAAAAGATTTTATATGGCCACGCTTATACAATCATTATCAAGGAAGTCCTGCTCACATTTGACAGCTTGAAGCTTTTATAGTATTCTGGGAAATTATAAACGAAACTGTAATAGTTGCATAAAATTTAAAACGATGGTAGCAAGACAACAACAATATTCATAGTGTAATTTATGTGAAATAAACAGTAAATCAATCATACGTTGGCGAAATTCGATATTACTATGATGATGTTGCCACCACATGTCCACAACAACAGTCAAACATAAAAGATTATCAAACACCCTCAATTCAAAGAGAACAGTTTTGATAACCCTGAATGATCTCATTGGCGTGTTGTAAACCATACCGTTTACTACAGCTAAAATAGTGTCACGATTTCACCAAAGCTGGCCCAAATAGAAAGAAACCACTCTGGTTTCCCACTATATGTAAATTCACTTCATGTATGACGCCACCACAACCACCACACTTTTACAAAACTACCTAGATACATTAACTTTTAGATTACCTCTGAAGGATCACCACAAAGGGTAAATGAAGGTCTCACAGAAACACTTCGTACTTGGCTGCAAAATACATGCCATATATCGATGTACATCAAAAGTATTAAATACTTCTTTAGTAAAAGATGGAACGATTTTCCCTTTTTTTAGATTCACTCAGTTTAACTGAACTAATACAAAAAGTGTTATACATTTAAAGTGAATTATATAGATTAACTCATTTAAGAGATGTTGGGTATGAGCTAGTCATACAACCCGATTACTCAAACCGAAGTAGGAGGAATAAGATTCGAAAGTTGAACGTCTTAATCACTGAGTATACAAACCAAAAATTCATTACTAAACAAAGAAACAGAATTGATTATCCGCCGCTTAATGTTTAATTATTGAAGGTAGTTGGAAGAAAACCCTAATTAGACTATTTTTCGTGCTAATTTACATTTAAAAAAACAACTAGATGTATTGTAATTGTGATGGGATTGATACCTCTTTGAGGATTTGAACCTGTGTCATCCAGTTTTACAATATGTGACATGCTACTGATTACTGAGTTATCGGAGGTCACAACTGACTTTTAGTGATTAACGTACTACACATTCTACTAGAATAGATAAAAAAGGGTGGGATTAATCATGATTTATGTGTCACTCACTGTTGATATAACCTCCATCGTTCAAATCCCGACCGTTGCTGCTACCTTGACATGGTGGTCGGGCTTGCCTTTCGTGATGAACCAATCGAGCTATACTGGCTGGAACAATCGTTCCTCAAGATCCTACCATGGCAGATAGGTCGGTTGAAGAGCGGTGAGACTAAAAGCAGCAAACACAAGGAATGAAGGCGAAGTCGTACTGCTGACTGTACAGAGGTGTGACGGCAGTAAGGTGTTTCGTCCAGACAACGAGCATAACAGTGATGCTGCCTTCCCACAGGGGGAGTTAGAAAAGGTCGACCCTAAAAATGCACACCCCACCTTATCCCACCGATATCCGTCTCCGGCGGTCAGGTCCCAACAAGTACGGAGCTAACACAAAAATTACCCACAAAAAGGTCGTGTGTGACCGACCTCAAGCAGTTGTCCCTTGAGCACTGCGGTCACGCTCCCAGGTCATTAAGACCACTTCTAACCCGATTTCATTTTTAAGGTACCTTTAGATAAACCCTTTCACGGTATGGGCAACCGGGAAGTGATAACTGCCCTCATATCTTTAACAGCACTCAAGACCACTGTATTCAAGACTGACCATTGTTCAAATAACATATTAGATATCCAAGAGTATTTAAAAAATATGCTTCCACATTAAATATATAAAAACTACAACCATTAACTGCTGTATACAGATAGGAAATAAACGTTTTTGAAAAAGAAATGAGAAACTATTGAATCACATAACATTACATATTGGCTTAATTTGTAAATAAATTTGATTGACAAATCCACTTAAAAATGTTTCACGGAATACAGTGGACATCTCAGAACCAATTAGACGATTTGAACTTCGCAGGTGACCTAACCCTCCTCTCTCATACACACGAACAAATACAGACGAAGACAGTAAATGTAGCAGCAGCCTCTGCATCAATAGGCCTTAACATACACAACGGAACAAGGAAGATTCTCAAATACAACACGGAGAACACTAACCCAGTTACACTTGATGGAGAAACTCTGAAAGAGGTGGAAACATTCACGTACCTAGTAAGCATCGTTGAAAAACGAGGAGGATCGGATGCAGATGTAAAGGCGAGGATTGGCAAAGCAAGGGCAGCATTCCTACATTTGAAGAACATATGGAACTCAAAACAACTATCGACTAACTTCAAAGTGAGAATCTTCAATACGAACGTCAAGACAGTCCTACTGTACGGAGCTGAAACGTGGAGAACTACTACAACCATTGTCAAGAAGGTACAAGTATTTATGAACAATTGTCTACGCAAAATACTCAACATCCATTGGCCGGATACCATCAGCAACAGCGTTTTATGGGAGAGGACAAACTAGGTTCCATTTCTGAAGAGGAAATTAGGAAAAAACGTTGGAAGTCCATAGGACATACATTGAGGAAATCACCAAACTGCATCACGAGGAAAGCCCTAACTCGGAATCCGGAAGGGAAGCATGAAAGAGGAAAGCCAAAAAACACATTACGCCGGGAAATAGAAGCAGATATGAAAAGGATGAATAACAACTGGAAAGGATTGCCCAGGACAGAGTTGGATGGAAAATGCTGGTGAGTGACCTATGCTCCTTGACGATGGGTAACAGGTGTAAGTAAGTCTCTGTATCAAATTGAAACAAAGATATTTGATGTTAGAATATCAATGTCGGTGAAAACATTATATAAACATTAAACTTACTTGTCAATTAAAAATTTCCTCAATTGTTCCATAATCTCTGCAGCTTGACGATGATAATCAGCTTGTGATGTTGTAAATTCTAATAACGATTGCACTTGATCAGTCTATAATTGTGAAAAAGAATTAAAATGAATGCATGAAATTTTATCAAGAGAAAAGCTAATAGGGTAAGTCAGTGAACTAATAATAAATGGTTATTTTAAAAATGGTGAGTGATTGAATGTATTCAGCTATAATCAACGTAGAACCTGTGAAATGTGTACGATTTCAACCTGCTATTATCACATTAGCACAACAAAGATGAATACTAAAATGGTAGAAGTTATACTACGAATATCAGTCACTTCCCACAAAGCTTCTGGCCATTGATCAGGATAATCGTGCTGAACTTATCTAGGTAGTCCACACTTCCAAACAAAGCTCAATCCAACAATTAATAGACTGATGTTATGTCTTGATATGAAAGATTCAAGTTTTTCTTTTCAACCAACTCCTACATTAGTAAATACTGTGTATCACGGTAGGCGATTGTTGGACGCATAAGAACTGATTCACATACAGATGACCATATTAGGAATGAATGAAATAAAACAATAGTCGGAAACAATTGTGAATGGAGAAATCAAAGGGGGTTACGGAAAATAAACAAGGAAAGCGTAAACTAATTAGATGAGATAATGGTAACATTTTAACATTAAATTGAAAACAAAACAAGGATATATTTCTTCTATGTATAAAATTCAGGCTTCATTCCTTATTACAACACAAAGCTTACATTATTTTAAGGACTATGAAAAGGAGAAATCTAAAGCTATAGTCAACTCTAATTACATGCCATCAAGGGAAATATTGTTGAAAGAACTATTAAAAGAATTGGCTCGAAGGGTTGGATGGGGAATTTATGTATAATTGAAGCTATAACACAAGTCGACCTAATGTAGACCCTCATTGAAAACCCGGAAGCATTGGATAGCTGTTTCTTTCTAGTATGAGACTCATGAATTCAACTGTGAGAATACTACAAAGCAATATATATATATATATATATATATATATATATATATATATATATATATAGCCCAATTCTACTCAATCTCTCTCTAATCATATAACTGAATGTAAAAGAAGTTACATAATCTATGCGTACTTTCATGTCATGAATTAATTTCTATATTAAATAATATATGTGTAAACTTCGATTCACTTTTATCCGTGAAGTTCTGTCACCACATTGAGAGCTCAACAAAATTTACAAATAGTAATGGATTGATAATAGTAGGAGTCTATATCATATATTGACTGAAACAAGAAATATGAACAATGGTATTGTATTTTTCAAAGTTGAAATCATGAGTCAATTAAAGCTAGACCATCATGGGAAATCTGGAAGCACTAGACAGTCGTTTCGTCCTACTATGGGACTCCTCAGCAGTGTGCATCCACGATCCCGCACTCGCGAGATTCGAACCCAGGACCTACCAGTCTCGAGCCAGAGCACTTAACCGACAGACCACTGAGCCGGCATCCAACGGTGATAATGTCTAACTTCAACCGATTCACGATATTTTTGAGCAACCATTCACCAATTGTCTTCAGTGAGTTGTTATCTCACAACAGACGTGGTTAAACTCCACTGGATTTTAATACTGGATTTAATACAATGGTTGAAAGATAACTTGCTTGGATTGAGACATATAAAGAACAATTCCCTGTTGAATATTAATGTGTATACCCAAGCTGAAAAATCTTGAACCAGTATGAAACAGATGTTTATCAATACCACCAGCTGATAATCATAATATATGGTAAAAATTCACTTTACATTCGAGATACCAAAAAAAAAAATTCACAAAAGTCCAAATGCCAAATTGTATACCCCAGTTTTAATACACTTGAAGGCAACTGGAACAAGGCCAGCACAGAGCAAATATAAAATAAGAAAAAGTTCAAAACAAACATCTCTGTAAAATATCGATCCCTTTGTACCATTGTCTCATCAAACAATTAAACTACAACCTAAATTCAGGTGAAAAACTCTTTGTAACTATATATTCTCCGTATAATATATGTATTTGTCAATCAAAATAATCGTAAAACTCGTTAGACAGGTAATTTAATGAAACATAAATGAATATACAACTTGAGTCTTTTCCTGTGGCGGGCTAGTAAGAACGTTTGGAAAACAGTCAGATTGGACATTCGCCACTGGCCCTTGTAGATTAATGATTGGTAAAATTTTCCCACGCCCCCCGAATGCCCTGGTACGGTTCATTATCGGAAGAGTACGCTCTCCCTCTCCAAATGCTCTCATAAGGCCACGCGTATATAGCCTCTGCCACGGAGGTTCTACTAACTGCCTTCTCACACTACGGATGTTGTTTACCAAATTGAGAGGACGAAAAGCGAATCTCCAGCGCTTTAACTGGGTTAGTAAACACGCAGGGTCCATGTAGGGGAGTTGGGAAACCCTGATTCCCAACCAATGGTGCACATGGACTCCAGTATCCTGAGGGAACAAATGGCGTATGAACCAATCGTCGGTCACCGGCTACCATGAGACGGCATCTCCTCACAATGCTCCACAGTCTTGTGGATCAGATCTTTAGGTGAAAGGCTCCGGATGTGGACCCCTAAGAAAACCACCTGCTTCAGTTTAGGCACCTGTGCAGTATCACAGCCGCCACACAAATCAAATGAGATTAGTGTAGCGCATATGTATCTGGTGCCCCTTTGTACCAATATTTATGTGTTCAAATAAATAATAATAAAAATCTTTCCACAGAGTTAAAAATCTACCTTAGCTTTCCTAATTACATATCTGATCTATGTGTGATATTCACTTCCCTACGGTAAAAGAATGTACACTGAGTAGCAGTTCATTCTGTTTAATTTAGATACGAAACATTTTCCAACTAAAGAACGATTGCTCACATCACCTTTTGTGGCAAAGAAAATAAAATATTGAGCAGAAAATGCTTAATAACCCATAGATACCAATTTTATTCAAGAAAATGTTAGTGTTGTTAATCAACTACCTAGAAAACCAATCACCATTACGTAAATTTTTGACTTGTGGTTAGAAACAAACTTAACTTTTAATCAATAAGTCACTGGCTCGAACCCCAACAGCATTAACTTCAGTTTGTGCACTCAAATATCAAAAGCTGTTACGTAAATAGTGTACGTGAAAATCAATAACAAAACGTTTTACTTCAATAATTTAAATTAATGTTATATAATGATAGCTCAGTGATGAACGCTTTCAACATTCCATGTTTATTATTTTGGTTTAAGCAATTGTATGGGTGGGACTACACTTGATTATTGAAATTTCAGATGTAATAAAGTTATACTACCACTTATAAAAGGATTCCCATTATAATGAAGATTTTAATGACCCGATATCGGACTCCAGTTAGATCGTATACTGAATGTTATTGAAATATACATACCGGCTACCCTCGTACATTTTTATCGAATTAATTTGCGTTGGTAACTAACGGAATTAAATAAGTCAAATACAAGGATGAAGTTTGAATATGTATATTTCGTACACTCATTGATTTGAAAAGACAATCAGAGAAACCAAATAGTCACATTATACAGTGACGTACTGCTTAGATTTGAACATAGGAATTGATATGTACGTCATGAAATATCTACGTCACCTTGGTCGAAACAGTGAATGTTCGACTCACAGGCTTGTTTGGGGTAAGATGAAATTTTAAGGAAGAAAATAAAAGGATAAAGCAAAACGACACATCAGAGATATTCTTGGGTGAAGACTACCCGAATAGTGTTCGCCCGATAACTCCGAACAGTGATTTGAAGTATTAGGTGACTTGGCTCATAATCTATCAAAGTGGCGCAAACGCATTCATTCTTTATCTAACTCTACATACCAAGTTTCATCATCAGTTGATACATATATACCTTTTTTCCAATAATATTCCCCAGTAAATAGTCTTTCTTAACTCCGCTCCTCTAGAGTTACTGCCGGTCCCAAGCCCGACTAAAGGAGGAGGGTTGGGCATGGGTTAGCAACCCCATCTCGTAGAAAAACAAACTCGCTAAAAAAACGCTAAGGCAAATAGTCTTTCTTATTTTCATTTATACGTTTATCACTTCTACTTCCGGTTAATTTCATCCCGCTACGTCGATGAGACACAACAACTTGAAAAAACATAAACTTTTTGTCAGGTCCTACGTTATGACTAACTGTAAGAATGAATGCTTTGAATCATACTGATTAGCATTTCAAATTACAATGAATGTTAACTTCTAAAAACTACTTATTTTAACGTAATTTTTGGTTTCAAACAATAACAAAATACCCCCTATATTATTTACATTCTCAAGTCATTCGTGAATTGAACAAAGACAAATGAGTGTACAAAAGTACAAGTAGAAACTGCTTTTTTTTAAAGTGGGTGGGACAAAAAAAATTGATAGCAGAGTTAAATATGTACTACGCCCTTACAATGTAACGATTGCTTCGACACTACATTTTTTGGCTTTTATTTTGTGTCTATTAAGGCGATCATAAGATTCCTCAAATTTCGTTACTAGAAATGATAACCGCAAATGCTCCTTTTTCTGATTCAACTTTCCAGATGGCCTTTAACTTATTATCCTATAATTTGTTTCCTCCTTGTGTTAGTGGACAAGTATTGAGTGCTAGTTACCGCTTTCAAATAACGCAATAATAATAATAAAGTAGCTCAATCGTTCCGTATTACTTAAATATTGTAGGGTCATACTGAACTCCAAAATCAAGCCATGACAGCGCCATACCAATGAATCGATAATACTGATAAATCAACAGACAAAACTTGAAAACGAGAAATAGTTCAGTTCTCGTTTCTCCTTTAGTTTGTGTAGGTTAACTGGCTCCCCCCTCACACATATATACATGAATATATTGTTTCCATGGAAAAGCTAATCATGGTGGTCGCACAATATAGGATGTAAGCTTAACTTTTTTCAAAAAGCACTATCAGTAAAAGACTGGACTAAAAATCTCGCTACTAATCGCTCGCAATCATCTACGATCCATTACATTAAAAAAAACCTACATATTCTAAATCACTTAGATCTACTCACTATATTTTCATCGTTTTAGAATAAACAATTAATCGTATTTAATTTTGTTTGGTACTATGCACTTAAACATTCAACACTTCATGTACATAGACTTATTTAGACAGTTTAACTGATCACAGAATCGTAATAACAATCTGGTAAATAGGTATTTTTACAACAACAAAAAATGCCAGTACTCTGTACATATTCTGCATTTACACAATTTGAAAACTATTAATTCATATTCCGGCTAGTGTCAAGATGGATCATCCACGTTATAACATGTAAAATTATACGATGAGACACAATGAAGATAAATTGTATCACCAGATAGAAGTTGCAATTACGACAAGCAGTGGGATTATATGCTGTGCTTTTTAGAAGTGGATTGATGAATACAATACTGGCTTATTACGCAAGCAGTACTATAAGGAAATCAGGTAAACACAGTTAGGATAGACGATTAAAATTCAATAATTAGGTTTTACCATGAGAATAGAGCACTCCATAGCATTTTCGTTTGCAATTAGGACGAGTTGGTCAAAAATCAAATCTAAGTCCTCCACAGCTTTTGCTGAGATAGTGTTACTTATAGATGATGGATTCATGATCTAATAGTTTACATTTCCAACTTTAACGGATTCACAAGTTAGCTCAACCATCAACCAGTGATATCGATGAAAACCGTAACGGGTCGTGAGAATATACAACTGATAAGTTTCAAACAAGAACAAGAAGCTGTATGTTGCTCCCTGATTTTAAATTATCCTCAATTTGTTGTTAACCTGTAACAAAATTTAACCAACTATTACTGTTTCTTTATTTCTTTACAATGACTATTTGTCTAGTCAAATGACTAGCCCAAAATTACGCTTAGCGATGCATAATAACTGTCTCTATCCCAAATGACATTTAAAAACCTTTCCATTTTTAGTGATTCATTCTTAAAGTGATTCCTAACTACTTAGAAAATGTCAACACATTTTCTTTTCTATTACTAACAATAGTAAACAGTAAACAAGTTCTCCAATACCTATACATCTCGTTAATACTTTGAGGCTTGCAGTCGAATAATAATTTAGGGTACTGAGAATTCTGTATGTTGAGGATGTCAGTTTGTCAAGACGGGGTGAATTGTTTGGTTTTGAATCGTAAAAATATGTAGAGCGGTTTTTTAAAACATAGAATCACATTAAACTTTAAACGAAGGTGGATTCAAAAAGCGGACACACACAATCCTAAGGAATTTTTTTCCAATTGTTGATATATGGAATTGAATTTAAACAGAATCCTCGATATACAAAGTGACTACATTTTTGATAGCCATGTGTTTCGGCCTGTTGGAATCATATCACCCAGGTGTTCCTGTGATTTCTTTTTGATTGATGGTTACTGTGCAATACAAACATATGAGATAAGGGTACATCCGATTGATGAGATCAAAAGAAAACAGAAAAAAATGAGACAACTCGATTCTACTGTTAGTCAGTCATGTAAAAAATGCGAACATATTTTGATCATAATTAATATGAACATAGTACTTTTGATAAATTCGACACTTAAATGAGTTAATGCCTATAGTAAATAGAATTGATGGGAGGAATCTTTTTATGTAAGAAATGTGGAGATTAGCCAAAACGTTGATTAGTATAATCATTACACATAAGCATATAGTTTGACATTGTAATTATATTTATTAATCATGATTGTAGAGAGAATAATCATAAACGGACTGATTAACTAACTGTATAAACACACTCATGAATACTATTTTATCACCAGGATGGATAAGCTTGAACATGATACCCGAAAGATATAAATGTTAACGTCCATTCACACCAATAAGTAGCCTGGTATTTAATCAACAGAGAAGTATTAGATATACCCCAGAGGTTGTGACATAGTGGTAGGACTGAGGGTAACGAATTTCATGCTCAAGAGTGAAGTTATACTGTAATAGGTTGGGACACTAAGATTTTTCCTATGGATAAACAATAGTTGTAGTGATGTGATCCATTCATGAATGGAAGGAGAAATTTCCCTATATGGGCTGCTTTCAAGCATCTCAGGCAAGCGAGATTGCCGATAATCGTCAAATCTTTTTTTCCAGGGTTTCCAGTCAACTATCTCCAAACATCATCTAACATAAAAATAAAGTGCACGCGATGTCTAGTCACTTAGGCTAGTGGCCACATTACAGCTTGATCAGTAGAATACGATATTGGTCATTACTCAGTGATCAACCAATTTTAAATACGTCTCAGTCTCGGCTAAGTGACACAAGGCCGTAATCCGCCAGTGAGTATCAGTTCACTCAAGATTACAAGTATACCTTCCTAATGAGTGCCAACTGGTACGAAACCTATATATATATATATATATATATATATATATATATATATATATATATATTGATGTGTGTGGGAGAATGATAATGATTGGTTGTCTGCTTAGTCAGACAGGTGTCAGATGAGTTATATGTTCTCCTATCCTTATTAGTTATTATTACTGATTGATTGTCCATTTGTTGTTGGATTGTGTCGGTTTTGATGTGGAAACATATTTACATTCTAGTCAGGCTAATCACGTGTTCTTGATCTTAGTTGTGTTGAAGTCCTGTAGAATAGACACTGGAAGGGAATCTAGTGTGGATATTCGTCTAAGGTAAATTAACGTCCCATTCGCGTAAAAAGTAAGGCGGACTGTTTTAACATATATATATATATATATATATATATATATATATACATATATATATAACTTTACCATTCGATTACATTGATATTTTAAAAGTGTTAATGAATAACTTACTTCACTATTCAAAAAATTAATCATTGCTTGTTCGGCTAATGCTTTTGATTCTTGAAATTTCTCTTCAGCAACTTTGAGTTCATCTTCAGGCAATCTTGAATTGTTTGCACCTATGAAGAAAAGAAAACATCACAGAGAATAAAAAACACCAGATAAAACATATAGATAATGAAGGAATATACATAGCACGAACATTTTGAATTATGGTTCCAAATTTTAAAAAGTAGTATATACGGTAAACTGTAAATTACGTAAAAGGTATTACGCACTCTATCATTAGAAAGAGTTTGATATTCAAGACTGAGTTTTGATTAATCTTAGCAGGTATATGTGAATCCTCTATGGGTTGCTACAACATAAGCCATTTTGCCACAAGTTTTTAAGATAGATGGATTGTGACTAGCAGTGAAATTTGAGATGTGGTTTCTGTCCCGGAAGTAGATAGTGAGCTCGAAGATAAACACAGATATCCAGATATATCCCGCTAAACAGAACGAAAGTTCAACTCCGTCAGATTTTATCACAATTTTTTTAAGTGAAGAGCGAATTAATGTGAGAGGTTTCTGAAAATTGTTCATTTTCAAGATAGACACGGCGAACTACACTTAAGTAGTAGGCAATCATTTAAAACTATGGAACAGTAAACAAGGACCTCACCCTACCCTATTACATTCATCAACAGTGCACAGCCACTGTCCTGCCATGAATTGAACCCAAGATCTTCAAGCCTGGCAACAAGTGCATTATTTTCAAACCACTGAATAGGGATCCAACAGCTCATTTTCCTAACTTAATTCATTGTATAATCCAACATACATTCATTGGCATTACTGATGCTTAATCTTCGCTCTTGATATACTTGAATATATTGTTTGAAAATATGAACTATTGTGTATACGGACTCGGTGGTAATATGTTAAGGAACTTGGGTTCGACTCTGACATGGTAAGTGTACAATCCTAAACAGTTTTTCATAATAGAACGCAATAGCAGTTCAGTGTTTTCGAGGTTTTAACAATGGTCTAGACTAAGTTAAAAATTGATGCAAAGTATGCTCAAATAGTAAACGATAAAAATCAGTAAAATGTGGTACACTATCGAAACTCAGTTTCATGTACTAGGTTACAAAAGATCTCACAATTCATAAAACCACGTTGCCATCTACAAGACTGTTGGAAATGGTAGATCCCCAGAAATCACTTGGTAAACAACTTATTTTCGTAATTTTGTTTTCGAAATTTGAATTTCTCATTTTTGCACTAAAATCGCTCATGTTTACCTTCAGATTGCATTTCCCACTTGGAAGGACCTTAAATATTATTGATTCGTTTTCAATTTTTAATACTCTATTTGTGACGATTACCAAGGTCATTTTTCATACTGTATATATAGGCTTGAGTTGTTTGCTTGTTCGTTCGTGTTTCTGGCTGCTTGTAAAATGTACTTTTCCCTCGGCTGAATCTGGTCTTCTTCCTCTAGTTATCAGGATTGGGATGCATTGAAATAGTTTAGCTTGTCCTATTGTTATGTTATAGACCTTTGTTCCGTTCGCCAGTTTTATGTGATATCGTAATCTCTTCAAACATATCAAAGATGTACACGAGCGAGTATTTCAATAGTAATGCCAAATTTATTAAATTCTTCTATTTGTTGAGTTTGACTAGCATGATGGATATGAAACGATTTTTTACAGATATCGTTGTATTATATGATTAGTCACAATACTACTCAACTTCATCCTGTTTAAAATATTATCTGTTAAATCGTGAGTGCGTGCCCTGTTAATATATGAGCGTGCTGATTCCCGCCAATGAGAGGGGAGTGAATTATCGATCAGAGCAATGATGCACGAAAACCGTACGAATAGTCTTGAGTACTTATCAGTCCTGCTATCTGCCTAGCCCAGCCAGTTAAGTCCAGAACACCAATAACAACCTCTGCAATATGAATCATTACTACTCTCAAGCATACTGGGTTTATATATCAAACAAGCTGACCACATCGTACCAATAAAATAGAAAATAACATTTGTACAAGATTTGGCCAAATGTGGCTGTGAATAGGGGGAATAGTAATCAATAGACTGGGGATAACTCAAGAATGGTAAACCGTATAATAATAGTCTATAGGTCAAAGTGAAGCTTATAATAAGGGGAATGTGAATATTTTAGTTACTTAACAATTATACAATAGGAAATATACATATCACATTGGTCCATAAATAGGTCTCAAAGTTACCATTCATAATCCTCCACGGAGTATAACAATATCCAAGAGAATTTGATCAATCTAGTATCATCTTAATGCTAACAGTCTATAAGATAAGTTTACGTATACTGTACAAAAGTTACAGAATAAATACATTTCAATCAAACTATAAACATACTATCCAAATATAAAATACTGATTTATATTAGTGTCATTCAAAAAAGGTACACATTGGAATGTGTGACAGCATATTTGAAATATTTACTTATTATTCACTTATCAACAAAAAAAAACAATAACAGGAACTGAATAGAAACATCATGATTGTATTGTATTTTAAATGTAATTTGGTATTTTATCATTTAGTGAATAATACAAACACAAAAAATACGGTTTATGTATAGATACCCTGGTAGAAGAGGTCAATAATTTGAAAGCTTATCAGCTAATATTAACCTCTAGACAATTGATCAATATTGTAACCTCTAGATAATAATCATAAATCAGTTTATTATATTTGAAATACCATAATTACAATTGTAATATACATATGTTGTCTTCTTGTAATTCATATTAGCTTTAAATTCAGTTAGTATTGTTTGTTTGAATCTTGTCATTGATGCTTAGGACTGCAACTGGTCAGTCTCTAATTGGCCATATATGAGTACTATGAGTATTGCCTCGTTATAGCCTTAATTAACAAGCATTATAAGTAAAGATGGATAGTGGCTAGCAGTGGAATCCAATATGCATATATGTCAATAAGAGACTGACCAGTGGCAGTCCTAAACAACAATGGTAAGATACAAACAAGTAATACTAAGTGAATTTAAACTTTACCCCATTGCACAACTAAGTGGCTATCACGATCCAGTAGCTGAGTGAATAACGCGATGGCGTTTGAAGCGAACAGTACTGGGTTTGAGTCCCAGAGTGAACATCAACTCTGTGATGTAGGGTACATCCAGCTGACGAGTCCCAAATAGGACGAAGTGCGCGTCCTGGATTCCACTGCTAGCTACTATCCATCTTTGCTCATATTTGCTTCATTAATTTGGTGTTGAACAAGTAAATTACCACTATCATGAACTTGTAAATGTGTATTAAACAGACAAAATTGATCGCTCCATAAATTAATAAGTTAAGGGGGGAGAAATAATTTGAAAAATAACTTACATATACTTGGAGCTATTGACCGTGGACAATTTTTTACAATTAATTGGCATGTAATATAGTAACAAATACAAATGGAAAAAGACTAATTGTAATTTTCGTTTCGAATTAAATAATTTTAATAGTTGATATCATGAATCAATTGAAGCTAGACCACCACGGAAAACCTGGAAGAACTGGACGGCCGTTTCGTCCTATTATGGGACTCCTCAGAAGTGAGCATCCACGATCCCGTCTCACGAGATTCGAACCCAGGACCTATCATTTTCGCGCGCAAGCGCTTAGCCTCTAGACCACTGAGCCGGCATTCAACGGTGTTAATGTCTAACTTCAACCAATCCACGAAAATGACTCCCTATTCTTATACATTTATCACCTACGTTTATCTTATACCACAAAGTAATTAATATTACTAACCCTTTAACGTTGAAAAAACTACAGAATATTATAAGTAAGAGAACAAAGACAGACAGATAAACATTATCAACAAAGAGTCTGGCATAGATAAGTGTTCGTTCAAGATGTCGTACCTAATTAGCACGGAGTGATCAAAATAACAAGATGTATACCAAAACAGAACAAAGTAATGTGGTAGCAGTAATAAATAAAAGACTGAAAATTTGGAATATGGTTCTAAAAGACTTGTGAAAAATTATATAAGAAAGAATACTGAAATCCGTAACTGAAAAAAATATAAAGCATCAAAGCATCTACTTCACTATGGACGTTTTTGTGCCATGCCACTCAAAGTCTGTAACCAGTGAGACCCGTTATCAGGTGAACCCCAACCAAATAGTGTGCACATACCAACATAGTTCAGTCCAATAACTAATGGCTTTATAGAGTGACGCCATGTGTCGGTTTGAATGCTTCTACCATCCTTACAACATACTTCTGCACTAACCATAGCTCATAGAGATAACCGAGGACTAAGCATACGTAACACGTCCTAACCAATTTAGTCAATAAAGATTAACGATCTCATTAACCAGTTCACGACCTTTACCCAGTACTCCACTATATGCCTAGCCCCAACATTACTAACTCCGTCGTTTCGCAACAAAAAAAAACAATGGTTCGAAGACACTTATGAACCTTTGTAACCTTTAAGTCAAAACTGGACTACCTTTAGTTAGATACTAACGTAAGCATTTCATATCGTCAGCCAACCGGTTGTTAGTTATTTATTTTCATTTTATTTTATTTGAATACATAAATATTGATACAAAGCAGCACCGAATACATATGCATCACACAACTCACTTGATTTGTGTGTGGGCTGTGATACTGCACGGGTGCTTAGACCGAAGGAGGTGGCTTTCTTAGGAGGGGCCACACCCGGAGCAGAGTGTTGTGATAATTATGAATAATTTGAATAAACATGCTAGAAAAAGAATCCTTTATAACAATAATTAATAATAATAATAAAGTACGCATTAGGCGATTTAACCAGACTTATTTTTGTTTACAATATTGATTTATTATTGCACTCATTGTGACCGCGTGTGTGTGTGTGTGCGTGTAAGTGCGAAACCATGACAATTCGGTTAAAATTCAAATACAAGTTAACTTATCATTTACAACATTACAAATTTTATAATATTTTAATGTGATTATAATATGTACAATGAGTAAATAGAAAATTGGTTGATCTGTGCATATAAACAGATTTAATAAGGTATGGTGTTGTTGATGTTGTTTCGTTTGAAAAGAAGTAAACTTCCTTCCG